GATTTCAGTTTTTCGAAGTGATCGCAAACTTTTTTTGATGTGTGTACGCGCTAAAAGACACGCTCTATGTGACCAAGTTAAAATTTTTAATTTGTAATTAAACTTATGTCCTAAATTCACCTAAATATAATATTTCTATATGAACAAGTTAAACATTTATGTTGAAATCTAATACTTAATTTTGTCCTCGACCCGCACGTGACAAAGCTGTCCCGCACTAGACAAGTCGAAGTTTTTTTTATAATATATTAATTATTGATGATATTTGTTTTGTGTTCTTTCTCATGTACTCCTTAATGTTCCCTTTATTTGTCATAAGCCAACCTTTGAGTTATTCTATTCCAATTCGCAAATTCTTTTTTAATAAGCTACAAAGAAAAGCTAGTGTTGTTTCGATGTCCCATGTGCACAAGACTGAATTTAAAACGATCATAAATGTCTAATGGAATGATTTTCCCAGAAAAACAGGGTATTAAGTTATGAGCAATGGTGATATTGTAAAGAAGTAGAAAACTTTTATTAGATTTGTTCGTTCATAAAAAAATTGTTGGCGTTTAAACAATTTAACTGTCATACGAATGTCCCGCACGCGACTGTGGAATGCTCCTGAAGGTGAACAACGCTGACCTTATGACCCATCCCGCGTACAGTCCCGACCTGGCACCTTGTGACTTTTAATTTATTTCCAAAAATTAAGAACCAGTTACGCGGTCAACGATTTTCGTCACCTGAAGAGGCTGTCGAAGAGTATGACAAATATGTTTCAAAGATTGTCACGGAGGAGATTGTCACGGATAAATGTTTTCAAAATTTGTTCATTCGTATGAAAGAGTGCATTAACGCTAAAGGAGAATGTTTTGAGAAGCAATAAATTCATTTCTGACAATTTATAGTATTTTTTTCTTATTCATTCCGGAAACTTATAGTGCGCCTCACGTAGTATTTTGAACACTGCACCCTCATTATGACTTTACCCGTTTGTGATAAATAGTACCGCACATACAAAATTACTGTATTTCTTAGTGCCGGAGTGCTTAAATAGTTCACTGTAAATAATTGAATAGTGTTAGTACGTAGTTAATAAATAATTGAATAGTGTTGGTACGTAGTTGATATTTCTCTATGGAGAAGCAATAGGCGGCAACTATAGCGTAAAATGAAGTAAACGCAATAATGTTTGTATTTAGCATTTTAATTAGTCAAATTGTACCTCTTTCAGATACTATATTACTTTAATAATATGTTTGAGCAAGAAGTTTATAAGTTATTCTTCAACAAAAATCAGTAAAAAGGAACTACGTCAAAACGCGTATGCGATGTTTTCACTCTTAAGGCGACGCGATAACGAAACGTGTTACCCCATGGCCCCATACTATCATATTCTGATATTCAATTTTACGGTAAACGCCGTTACTGGCCCTGAACGGGTTAAGCACTAAAAAGTACTTAATGTACACCTTCTTAAGTGCTCCACATTACGGAGATGCGCTTATATTTTAGTTCTACAATTAATCTCAACAGTTTGCTAACAAAATCCATCTGTCCAGGCGGTGAAATTGGAGAGCGCTCACGTGGGTCGCACGAGGTACTTGGTGGTGGTATGTCGCAGCAACGAAGCAGCACTTCTTGGCATCGACTGCAACCACCAAACCACTGTCGGCCTGGCACTCCGCGTGCTCGCAGATACTTCTATCAAGCTCGACGGCGATGGGTAACGTCACTGTCTTCTACAAACTCTACTAGCGCGGCAGTTGACCATACGAGGCAGTAAGAGATAATGTTTATAAGAATTGAAATTTTTTCTAACAATAACTTTCGATGACAAATACTCATTTTTGAATTTCGCGATTTTTAACCATCGTGATATTCATATATTTTTTTGTGAAATAACTCCACTAGTTTGATACAATTACACAGAACTTGAACCTGCATCCACGTTGTACCGTAAAGTCGCTCTGCCAACTGCTACAGGTCGACGAAATTCTTCTATGTTTGTGTCTTCTATCTTTGTATTGAGTTTTTATAGAGATTTTTGAAACTGATGATTTGGGAAATGATTTGTGTTATTAAACTACGTAATTTTTACGCCATCGTTATTTTAATGACACAGGATTTATTAAGCGACTATCCTTCGACTATCCTTGGACATGAATATTTACAATGTAATTAAATTAGTAATTACCCCTTTTAATGTGAAAGTGTCAGATGCAACAGTTTTTATCTAATAATTTATGCATAAGGTTAGGTGATACCAAAAGCAAATTTCATACAAAGTGATTTTATTGGTGAGTTCTTAATGGGAGGTACTATGTTAGATAAGATGGTAACTATTTTTTTTCTTTTACGGTCGACGAAATTATTTGTATCTAATCTCCCTACCGCAAAAGATGATAATCTGCGGTTTGGTACCTAACGTACTTTTCGGGTACTGTCCTCGAAAGGGTTTTAAAACAACTTCTCATACAGTCTTGGTTCAACACTCTTAATGTGAATCAGAAGTGCCTTTTTGTATTAACTTAAATTAAAATACTTTTTCGAGTCTAAATCGCGTATATTTGTTATTTTCAAACAAACCAACTGACTGACTCGGTCAGGGACTATGGGTCCCAAAAAAGAGCGGGAAACTTTGGTTTATTAAAAAAAAACATGTAAATTTTTATTGAATTGATATTCAATTATTTTTATGTGAAATTACTCCACTAGTTTGTTATAATTATTAATACATTGTTTTTTTAATAATTAAAAAAAATGTACTTATACGCGATTTAGATCCGAAAAAAATGTTTCATTTCCATTGTACAGCAATGGCTAAAACCTTAGAACCCAATAATTATTCAATTAAATTTAGATTTTATCATTTTAAAACACGCTGTTCCAATCATCACCAACAACCCATTCATACGTACCACTGTTGGGCACGGGTCTCCTCTTAAACGAGAGTTTAGACAATAGTCCGTCACGCTGGCCCTATGCGGGTTGGGGACTTCAAATACGTTTTCCGAGGGCTGTGAACCTTCTTCGACGTCACTTCTTCATCACGATCTTTTCCTTCACTGGAAAGCCCATGGTAAATTTCAAATTAAGTTTCGCATATACATTCCGAGAAACTTATAGGCGCGAGCCCGGATTCGAACCCACAAGGCCTCTGCTTGAGAGGCGGTAGGTCAAGCCATTAGGCTACCACGGCGGTTCCAATAGATTATCCATATCTATCGACAAGGACTTGCATTTATGTATCAGGGACAGATCCATACTCGACAGCTAACCATAATAGCGAGAAGCCATTTTGCACAGTGGACGCTTTGAGTAAGCTAAGAACAATAACTAATTAAGGATTCATTGTCCGCAGAGGGTTCAGCGTCTGTGTGTGCAATCAGCAACACATATTCAAGCCGGTGTCTGTTCAGGCCATGTGGTGAGTTATCAATACTAATAATGATTACGGTATATTTGTAAGCAAGCTTCGACAAGGTGTCGATAATAAAAGCGGTAATTGTAATCATTGGTGTCGATGTCAACTAATTTTTCACTAATATTATATACAAATGCGAAACAGTTATAGGATTATGGGTGAAATGACGTTGTCATAAACGGCTGGACATTTAAAATGCCCAATACATTGTGTATTAAATTAAGGGCGGTAAATAAGGAATTACGAACGAGGCTCTGTTAGAAGCCCGAAGTCGACTGAGGGGTAATTCCCGTAAAGCCCGTGAAACATCCAATGTTTTTCATCACACACGTAAATAGTATATTTGTATGCAGGTTAGCTTGACTGTAATGCATAAAATCCTCGGGCCTTTTTTCTTCTCATTACGGCCATGGTCGGTAAGTTGTTTTGAAATAGGGTTCGGGGTGAAATGACATTGTCATAGACAATTGCTCTGACTCGAGAATTGAAATGCACTAAGTTGTTTTGAAAAAAGGTATTGGGTGAAATAACATTGTCATAGACCGTTCCACCGGTCCCCGGTTCCTCTGGCTTGAGAATTGAAATGCTCGAAATTGTTTTGCAATAGGGTTCGGGGTGAAATGACACAATAAATTAGTCTCACGAGCCATACATTAAGAAAAAAAAAGTTTCTATAAATAATAATGCCAGACGACCACAACAATTACCTAATCTCAAACTAGAGAAGTCCCTATGGTACGAGTACCAGAGCAACGGAATTCACTCCGGGGCATTAGCCACAACACCCAGAGATTTATCCTACCGGGACCTCCTGTTTCAGCGTTTGCACTGTGAAACCGTTGGTCGACAAACTTTCTAAAAATAAGTTTGAATATCGAAAACGCGAGTTTTTTATTTCGTAACGGTGCGCTATATATTAATTATTTAATAATTAATGTATTCTAATTAAAAAAAATAGGCTTCGAGGTCCAATTGCGGAAACCAGCTCATTATCTCATACAATACCATACCACTAAATATATCTATTCTTTGCTCTCTTTATTCATATTTAAATGGAATAAAATGGAACTGTACACAGGTCATAGGAATATTCCATATTAATACCAACTTCCTGTAACTTTATCAACCTACATTAAATACTGTCCTGGTTCTGAGTACGAACATTTTCCTTATTGTACCACTGAATTGAAGACAAAGTAGTTAGTCACTAATTACCTAAACGTAGCTTTCGAGTTTCTTTTGTTCATACGCTTCCGTGCCTTATTTGTTTTGCTTTGCCTTATTTGGTGCGTCCATTTGTTGCCACATTAGAACTTACTTCACTAAGTATAGAATTATAGAAACTCAGATACTTTTTATAAATTTGTTTGTTGTTTTGATCAGTAAAACCTTGGTTATTTTGAATTATGAAAGGCTAAATATTTGCAACATTGAGTAGATTCTTGGCAGACATCGTTACCGGAAAATGTCCGTAGGAAAATGGGTAATAAAATTGCTCTTTAATAGATTAAACTATTTACTTTAAATTTCTATCGTACGGTAGTTTGTACACATGTATCACGTCCTTCAAAACTTCGTCTTTCAAAGCATCCCTGACCTTCGATCAAGAATATTGCCGCTGTTAGTTGAAAGTATGTGACATTTAAAAAAAAATGTTTTGTATACTGCCGTGATCAGTAAAAAAGGCCGATCTGTCATATTTTTTTACTAGGTGGTGAAGTTACCACAAAAGAAAAGTTGATATTTTTTCAATTTCATTTGTTTGAATATTTTTCTTGGTTATGAGTTTTTGACACAAGCGCACTTTAACAAACGACGGCAGTACAATTTGATCGAAGTCCCTGACTGTTAGTTTTTATTATTCGTTAATATTAAGAAATACTCTACAGAGTTCTCTACCAGTGAGATTTAAATCGATTGATACAGTACAAACATTCAAAATAGTTATTATATTATTTGTTTTTGCGGGAAACTAATAATATAATAATAATATTAAATTTACGTCGAGGTCCAAGTATCCCAAAGGGGTCTGTGGTAAGTAGAAAATATTTTAAAGGTGAAAAAGAATTGCCGAGGCTCCGCAAAATGATCGAAAGTATTCATAAAAAAAAAATTAAAAGCGATGTTACCGTGAGACCACGCGGCACCGACGTAATCGGCGCGGTACGGCCGTAATTGGTCATACAAACTTTTAGTATTTTTAGTAGGTTTTAAGTTAATTGACTTGGCGGTTCATGAATAGGTTTTTTGTTATCGTAAGTGGGTCCATGAGCGAAATAAGTCTAGGAAAGCACTGCCCACGGGAGAAGCGACAGTCTAAAATAGATATCGAATAATAATAATGTGGCAGATAACCACACCAATTGCCTGGTCTCAAACTAGGGAATTCTCTATAATATGAGTGCTAGACCAACGAAATTGCTTCCAGGGGCATAACCCAGAATATTCAACCACAACCAATTTTGAAAAGTTAATTTCTCAAATTGATCCTATTGAGAATCGATCCTAAAATATTTTTATCCAGTGTTCGCACTGCAAACCGTTAGGCCACCGAATTCGTCATAATAAACAAAACTAAGTAAAAAGCTAGTAGACAAAACGAAGTAAAACAGCAGGCTACTTGATCGATAAAAATTGCACGCGTGTATTTTCCGCTGGTATTTTTTACACAACTGATAATAATATCTCCAGTCTTTAATTTTTCTTAAGTAATCTATAATACGGGGTGAAAAATTATAAACCATACCGTGATAAGAAACCTTTAACAGGTATTATGTTTTTTTTTCGATATTCAGGTCAGCGCTGCAAACTCTACACCGCGCGAGTGCAAAGGCCCGCGAGCTGAATCACTTCGCCGGTGGGTCGTCACACGCGTGGTGCGCTTACTACGAGAGCCATGTGGACTCCGACCGCTCCTGCCTTAACGAGTGGCATGCTATGGATAGCTTGGAGTCTCGACGTCCACCATCGCCGGATTCTTTGCGACTGAAGTAAATTTATTACTGGTTTTTAATCCAATGGTTCATTAAATAGGGTATCTGTAGCGACTAAGCCTACCAACGATAATAAATCAACCCTCTTATGTACTATATCGCAAGTTACAAAAATAGGTAATAATGTACATTTTTTTTGATAAGTCACTATTTTTATGCTCATCGAAAAAAATATGAAAAATATGAGTATTGTACGACCTCTATACAATCGTAGGTCTCCTCCGAACCCCTCATGATCTAACTTGTACAGAGACCTTAAAAGCATATATCAAAATTCATTGCAATACTCCTATAACCGCAGGTGTTATGCTCGTTGTAGGCCTTTAAAACGCTACCCTATAAAGTTGGGAATTTGAGCTTACGATTCTTTACATAGAAAGACTTGAATTAAACATGTCATGGCTGTTGTGAATATTGGTGAATATCAGCATCCGCATACGCGGGTATAAATTAAAATATCCTCATCCATATCAGCCTCCGCATTTATTGATGCTGATATTCATTGCAGATATTCGCGCCGCGACATTAATTTACAAACCATCCAGAAACAGACTGCAAGCCAAAAACGTATCTAAGCCGTCGTTCTTACCTTTGACGACATTTCAATAAGTGTAGCAAGTCAGGCTGATGATTTTATGCAGGTTGATTTTTTTTTCTATAACAATAGTCACAAAAATCAAAATCATTGAAAAAGCTTTTTCATGTAGAGTCAATCTGTACATAGGATAAAGATCGTACATAATTCACGATACACAGGATAAAGATCGTACATAATTCACGATATTTAAAAAATAGATAAAATCAGCATCTGCTAATGTTAGAGTAAAACAGTTATCATCTGAGGTATTCTCTCCTAAGGTGGGCTTTATTCGTTTGTATAAAAAAAATAACAAGATAAATACAACACACTTTCCCTCTATTTATTATGAGCAATTCAGCCTTCAATGGTCTATAGAATCTGTTTCGATATATCGCTTAATTTCATCTCGACAAGTGAGTTGCAACACTGTTCTATTCCGAGAAGAAAAAAACAAGCATAAATTACAAATAGCTATGTTGTAATGTGATTGATTTCGTTTAGTATTTGTAGGTTAGTGTAAAATTTATAATAAGCAACGCTTCGTTGGCGTCATAAAACACAACCCAGCAGAACCTTATTCCGCGAAGCTTATTTTAAAATTTGTAAAATCTATGAAAATAACTCCCAAAGGGAAGGATGGGTTTTTAAGAAAAGTACTCCTGGAGTTATCCTTAGTGTCTCGTCCATCTATTATATAATATATATATATATATATATAAACAAGCTGTGCGTCTGATGGTAAGCTACACGCCTGTCCATAAGAGTTGCACTGCCACTCAGACCTTTAAATCGCAAAATATCTGAGGGCACTGCCACTGCGCCCGTCACCCTGAGATATAAGTTGACAAGTCCCATGTGCCTGTAATTTCACCCACCCTTACCCTTCAAAACCGGAACACAGTGATGCTAACGTTACTGTTACGGCGGCAGAACCAATTTAAAACAGTTCGTTTTCAAATAGGTCCTACCTGGAGTCGAATCCGAGGACCTCTTCATCAAGCGTCCACAGTAGAAAAAGTTAGGCCACCGAGGTCGTCTATATTTATCGTCTGCAGTTGTAACAATGCAATACAACCTTAATTAAGAAACGATATCTATAATTCATTCGAAACTCACTGAAAAAAGGAAGTCGATTAATTACGTGTTAATTACATTATATGCTGTAACAGTGTGCAGGAACTGAATAACTTACAGTACAACACGCATATTGGTGCCTAGACCTCGTTTCGTGGCCTCGAAAAGGATCGAACGAGCCAATACGTTAATTATGCTTGATTAGTTGCATGCTAAGTGCAGGGCAAAAATGTTATACTATACTACATTTGAAGTTTAAATTGAGATTTTGCATGCTTTTTGATGCACCTTTATTTGAGAAGTTGGGTGTTTTAGAAACCACATGACATTGTTATCTCTTATTTTCATAAACTAGTTAAGCTGTAACAATATTTATGATATGCAACTTCGTAGCTACTCACTATATGGCGTCAATCGTAGACATTGGACTATAGCTTGTGAGTCACATAAAGCTTTGTTTTGTGTTTTATACTAAAGCGTAATTTATATTAAAGACGTAAAGATGAGTTGATTAGTTATAGCAATCACCCATTGTGAGAGCGTGACGCGTAGTATTGGTATTGGTGGATTGGGTAGCGTGCGTATTGAGTCTTATTCCCCTAGTGCACTTTACATACAAGAGTCATTATTTGAATCCGCTTTCTGTGAAACGGAAGGATCTTTATTGGCGAAGAGCCAATTCAGTTTTATAAACGTCGTGATGATAGATGGTTCTAACAAAATTTATGTTTGTAACAGGCCAAGAGAACGGGACGAGACGGAGCGGGTGATTCGCTTCACGCTCAAGGAAATCATGATGAGCGTCGACTTAGACGAGGTGACCAGTAAAGTGATTCGTGGACGGCTGGAGGACGAACTAGATATGGACCTCGCGGAGTACAAGTCCTTCATTGACCATGAGATGCTCACAATACTGGGACAGATGGACGCCCCCACAGAGATTTTCGACCACGTCTACCTCGGCTCCGAATGGAACGCTAGCAATTTAGAGGAATTACAACGGAATGGGTATGTATATTCTTACGCTATCTAGTGCTTTTATAAATAATCAATTTTATTATAAGAAACGAGATTGGCTTACAGTAGACAGACAAATATTTCATTAATATTTGTTATTTGTTTCCTATTTTCAGGGTTAGACACATACTGAACGTGACGAGAGAGATAGACAACTTCTTTCCCGGCATGTTTGACTATCTGAACATAAGAGTTTATGATGATGACAAGACTGATCTACTAAAACATTGGGATAATACATTTAAGTACATAAACAAGGCCCGAAACGAAGGCTCCAAAGTTCTCGTCCATTGCAAAATGGGTATCAGCAGGTCGGCGTCTGTCGTGATAGCGTACGCTATGAAGGCATTTAATTGGAATTTCGACAAAGCTCTCAAATACGTCAAGACAAAAAGAAGCTGTATCAAACCTAACACAAATTTTCTCAGTCAGCTCGAGACCTACCAGGGTATATTGGATGCCATGAAAAACAAAGAAAAGCTGCAAAGATCTAAATCTGAGACCAATCTTAAAACACCTAAAACAGTTTCGAAAACCGAAAGCAAAGTGACAGACCCGACTCCTCTAGTCCTCGCTTTAACAGGCTCATATTCGGGCCGACCGCGCTCCTGGTCACCAGATACCAAACTTGCGTCGGAACTGCTACCTCCAACTTCTGTGTCACTCGAAAACTTGGCATCCGAAACTCGCCACATGCTCATGCCGTGTGCCAACGGCAGCTACAGTGTCTCGCCCAACCAGATAATTAGGCTCAAGGAAGAGGGAGCTCCGTCAGTCAAACATATAGTGAATGAAATAGAGAATGCATCGTCAGGGGAAAGAAGAGACTTTAGAAGGTACCAGAGATTAAATTTTGGAACTCAACTAGTTCCCAATGAGACACCTAGCAACAGGTCATCAGATGCGTCTATGGGCTCAAGTACGCAATCGGAGACATTGGGCAAGCCTCCGCAAGTCTCACCATCCAGAAATTCAAATCAAAAATGTCCTCATCCCAATTTTGAAGCGAACAAAATTCACACTTGGGACCCCGGGGAAGCGACATGGCCTAAAGGCGAAGATAACAGGAATATTAATGACAGTGACAATATAGTGAAAAGTGATAGTGGTATTATAGACGTAAAAACGAAAATAAATGACGCTTTATATAATTCCGTAGACCGCAATTTAGACAGTGACGAGAGGCGACCGAACGATGAGGATCTTCCACCGCCGAGCCGGCAGAGTTCGTGGAGCTCGTTCGACAGCGCCGTCGTTCCCGATTTGTCGCGGCACTCCTCCTGGGGCTCGTACGACACGCGAGCCACCCGCGTCGCACGGGACGACGCGGCCAAGCGCCGCGAGGTCAAGGAACGCAGCGACGAACGCGCGCCGCGGAAGGACGACGAGAAGTGCGACGCGCAGCGGCTCGCCCCCGAGCTCGGCATCATAAGTGAGCACACCGAACGCAAAGGCGGGCGGCGAAAGGTTGACCGCACTCCGGCCGACATATCGGATAACGAACGCAAATTCAACGAAACGTGTGCCATATTGAAGGAGCTCGCCAACGCAGCGGCGCGCATGGAACGCACGCGCGGCCGCGGCGCTTCCACGTGGAGCGGGCGCCTGTCGGCGTCGGCGCCGGCCGACACGTGGCTGCGCGCCGGCCCGCGCCGTCGCCGCCTGGCCGCCGCCTCCCACGGCGACCTGCCGCGCGCCGCCGCCCCGGTGGCTCCCCCGGCCTCGCCCGTGTCCGCGGCCGGCCTCGTCAGCAACCTGAAAAAGGAGTTCGAGGCCCGCCTGGAAGGCGACATGGCCCGACGGCCGCAGGCGCGCACCAGGGTGCCCGTTGCGGGGGACGCTCGCGAGCGACCGCCCTCGTCGCCGCCTGCCGGAGAAGACCTGTCCGTCAAAGTGTTGGTCGACCGGTACGACCAGCCGGGCCGCGCGCGCAGCGAGTCGAGCTGCGAGCCGCGGGCCAAGGCGCCGCACGAGTCGGTGTCGAAGAAGTCCCGCCTGGCCGAGGAGGGCCGGCGCGGCGCCGCGCTGCGTAACTCGTTCTGCGGCGCCGTGCGCGGCGAGCGGCCGCCCGTCGCGCCCACCGTGGTCTCCGCCCCCATCGACTATCCCAACGTGGTAGTTTCAACTGTGATGTCGAAAGCTCAAAATAAGAAACAATTGCAACACGGAAAGACCCATCCGTTGACGAGGCTCAACTTGAATCGGTCGAATAATCGATGTTCAAATCCTGTATATAATACTATGTAGAAGTATTTATGTTTTTATTTATTATGAATTCTTGCCAAACTCGATATTTTATCTTCTAGAGTTTTATATAAATTTACAAATCACAGTGTATTTGTCTATCACGTAAAATATATTAAGCGGCTGTTTGTGCGTAGAGAAATGTTAAAAGAGAGAATAAATTCAATACAACAGATGTACAACTTTTGTGCGCCTTTTTATTTTGTGGTAAATGAAAGATAGATTAAATGATTTCAAATATATATTATTTTAAATATAGAGATATATATAATATTGTGTATATGGTGATTTATTGATGAGTTCATCCGAAGTCAACGGTCTCGAGGCGCTTGCCGGCGACGAAGACTACGCGCGGAACGCTTTGCAGCTCGCTGATTCGCTTATAGGTTTCTGGCACCTTGGGTGGTTTCCGCCTTACTGTGCCGAAGTCAAAAGCGTACACCTCTCCTGGATTATTACGAATCGAGGCTTCTGTCTGCAACACACATTTAATTTTGTTAAAGAATTACATAGGTACTTGTGTACATCTTTAGGAACCGTGTCGGATGTTTTGAACTTACAATCTTTAAATCTACATCCACGACACGAATAATGTTGCTGTCGGAACCACCGCATACTAAAAGGTTGGTCTGCGGCACAAACTTGCCGCAATAGAGCTTGGACATATGGTTATCAGGAACGATAGAGTCTATCAACTTGCAAGACCCGTAGTCCCATATCTGGATTGAATCTTTTTCTTGCCAAGAACACGTTAATATCTGCAAACATCACTCTTTGTACACTCATAAAACATCAATGAATTGTAAGGCTAAATATTAATAATATAATTTTAATTTTTCACTTTATTCCATTTTGTAAATCCATTGTGCTTATGTAAAACAAAACAAGTGACACCGATAACACAAGATACGTGGAACTATTCCATTTAATTTCACTGAACAAATTCCTTATATGAAAAGCGATTTAGATCCAGTACAAGTTTGGTTACTATAGAAATAGACAAGAATAAAATAAAATTTAAAAAATTTACTTAATTCTTCGCCTCAAAGCAGTTGTTTTTAACCAACTTTAAAAAGGAGAAGGCTCTCAATGCGCCTGTATTTTTTTTGCGTGTATGTTACTCGATTACTCTGATAGTTGTGAAGTGATTTCCATGATTCTTTTTTTGTTGAAAAGAGGATGCTTCAGCAGTGGTCCCATTCAAATTTTAAAATATATTCCACCTTTATGGTCTATCCACACATATCCGGGACGTGGGCGGGCCGTGCTCCGTCAGGGGCTCAAAAAAATTTCGTTGCGTATATTTTGTATGAACTCGTTCACACAAATGTCCATGTCCGGGCCGGCGCCGAGACGGGTCTGTAGTTCATACAAACTAGCACGCCTCGGGCACGGCCCTGATGTGTGTGGACAGTCCTTTAGGGGGGGGGGGGCAAATTAGAGGATGAAAAATTTTAGTATTGCATTTCATCCACTTGCCGTTAATCGATTTCAATAAAACTTGGCACATAGATGCAAATTCCAATTAAAGTAAAATTTGTGGTGACCTAGAGCTGGTCTGATGGTGGAACTTCTTTATGCTCAGGCAACACAGGATATACGAGTTCATTATGAACCACACGCCACACGTTTCAGTGCGGCAGGGTTTATGAACCCTACATTTAATTACAATTTATAAACTCGTACATTTCATAAATTCCCGCGTCTGGAACGCTTCTGCGGACGCTTCTGTGTGGCCTGAGCATAATAGTGCACAGCCGCTACCTAGTGTTAGTTTTGACGAAGTCTTCCATATCATGCGTTTCAGTTATCGTTGAGGAGGCCAGGTTAACGAACACAGCGAAAGCGGAGCTAACTTTTAATGTCAGTTTTTTTTTAGTAAAACAGGTATGATTATTATTCTCTGATTGACTCGTGTGATGCTAATATGACCTGTCAGCCGCTCTGTCTATTCTAATACTAATAAAGGTATTACTGGATACTAAGAAAACGCGAATACATAAACTCAAAAATTCGCCACGTCAAATCCTTAGTAGCGGTACCTTTTGATTCGCGTCTGAATACAATCTCCCGATATAAACGTTAGTGGCGAGTTGTTAGATAAGTGACGAGCCACCCTTCACGTACTCGCTACTCACGCGAATGTGTATAATGAGGTAAATAAAACTACAAAGATGCCACTATCTAAATTGCCAAAAGTACCTAAGTACATACCAATTTTTCATAACTTATCATTCGGAACTAGGCAATCGGTACATGATTGATAACGGACTATTCAAAAATAAACCCTCATACCTGTCTTCCAGGCTTATCAAAGTCCAAGCCTTCCCCACACATATGAATCCCCTTAAAGTGCTTCGTTGCAAACGGCTGTCTGTCATCCCAACACATTACCGTGTCATCCCAACCCCCTGATATCAATTCATGGTGCGATTTAGGGTTAAAAGCGCAAGCATATACCCTTGAAACATGTCCATCTACTGGTTCTTTTGTAGAGCTGAAATAAACTTATGATGAGCCATCTAGCACCGAAGGTAATAACTATTAAGGAACCTGTGACCGAAGACTGTAAATCGAGAAAATACTATATCCACAATCATCCCATTTTCAGGCACGAGACAAAAATGTTCTTTATTACCCATTACGTACGTAACTGCGTGTTGAGACGTATTTTGAGGTTTCCTTTCTTATTTTCCTATAGCTTCCCTATAGCAATGTTTAAATAATATTGCAAGTTACAAAAATAAACGCTTGTGTAAAAAACTTGGCTTTGAAAAAATTCTTTGAGTATGTTACATAACCCTATATCACAGATGAGTTGTACCTTCCTTAACTAGGTTAGATTATGATTTTGCCAACACATAGGTATGTACATATATGTCTTTATATTTTCACATATGTACATACGAAGGAGATTCTGTAACTGTTTGTAATTTATAGATACACGTCTTATCTCGCTATCTACAAACCGAATTTTCCATTGATAATTGATATGAAAATAAATAGGTACCTACTACCTAAGCATTTTCATAAGCTGGAAAAAAGTCATCAGCAGTTATTATCTAGTAGGTACTAATATAGATTACCTGCCGTAAAAAGCCCTTTCTTGCGTCTGCGCTTCCTCGTCGTACATATTGAGTTTACAGTCATCACCGTAAGTCACGAATTTAGGATTTCGCGGGTGATACGATAAACCCAAGGTTTGCCGCTTTTCTCTTATAGTGTATAGGCACGTGTCGTATTTATATTTCCAGCATTTGACACAGCCGTTTACGTCTAAAACGTTCATCATTAAGAGGCAATTTAATACATTAATGTCTAGCTTGCAGAATAATACTACTAAACACTTGTAGATTGAAATAGCAGAATTATTTGCAATCGCCAACTCCCCGGCCATATGTTGCAAAATTAGGTAAATCCTACTTGTAAAGGTGTACGGAGTGGGCTATCAAATCTTAGACTTATGTGTTAGTTACTAAGTATCACTAACAAGAAGCCAATATAGTATTGGTGATAGGGTGAGCTTTGCCAACAGGACGATGTTTGATTGCGGTGACGGGACCCGGGTAGGCTCGACACTCTTCGTCTATTAAAGTTTGGCGGCATTTTCCTGTACTACATTCAAACACTCTGATGACACCATCCGTAAATCCCGCAGCTACATAGTGGGTATCTTCTGTATATTTACAACACATTATTTCCTTGTTTGTGTCTCTGTAACACATTATATTATTATTTTACCAACAATGTGGACTCTCGTTTGGTGTTCGGCAACGAAGAGAATCACCAACATCTCTCAATCAATCTATAAATCATTAATCTTTTCGCAGTTGTAGTAGAGAGCAATTGGAAGTTATTTCCGGAGATGGCTAGTGGTGGTCCTTTTAGCTAGTAGGTATATATAATATCAGCTTTGCAGGCGAACTAAAGTTTTTGATACAGCCCAATCGAATGGTATTTATACTTGCCACTTTATGTTATAATGGGCAAACTGACGAACGTTGTGGTTAATTTTTAATATTCTTGAGTGGCTACTTCGACTTGGAAATACCCTATTACAGACCCTATAGACAGATCGATAATTTCGTTGGAAGCCAGCAGCTGTAGGACCGGACAAAGTTTTTTTTAAAAAACGGAAAGTCTAGCAGTGGACAGCCAAAGGTTTACTGCGATCGCTAACAACCAATTCTCGTAGCTTTTAAGTAAAAAAAGACTAACGTAAGTTATATAGAAAATTATTTACATTGTGGACATCAAGTTCACGTCTCCCGTGTAGATCGGACCTTGATGGTCGCTACGCTGCGATCGACTTTCTAGAGCAGGTGTATTTGTATGGACGACGGTATTTTCTTTATGCTGGTGATGACTTTGGACACGGTCAAGCTGTTTAGTTATAAGTGTGCCTGCAACGGCAACGGTTTTTCGAGCAGCTCTTTGACTACTTGCAGCCATTGGTCCCGCCTGTGTTAAACGTTGTGGTTCTGTTCTAGAATACTGGAGTTCTGGAGTTTCTTGCTTCTGCAATCTCTGTATGGACTTCTGTCCTTCCAAATGACGATTTATTTGAGACTTCTGTCTTTCTGAATTACTTTGCTCTGTGTTCGATTTTTGAGACCCTAAGCCCTTTCGATGATTCATAATATATCATTATTGTACATACCTACGTCAATACCAAAATTATAAAATACTGTATGTAAATAATTACGCTCTGTATTAATATGTAAGTATAAAGTTGCAACACAAAATTTTTAGCAAATATATTTGATTTTTTGAAAAGTAAACAATACGTGTAATTTCCATTTAGATCATAGATTCATATTATTCAAGCATGACTTTATTAAAACTTTTTTCGTTTATTACTCTATAAAAAACTTCCTACCATGAGCAATATGTTCTGAAATTCAAGAACTTTTTTATTTACGTAGGTTCTAGGCCATTTGCTTTCATTCTCATAATATTATTATTAGGATTATGCCTTTGTATGCCTTAAAGGATTATGTAGCTACATCTTATTCACCGGCAACTCCTGAAAGTATGAGAGACATGTTTTTGTTTGAACAAGTGAGCTGTTCTATACACCGTTCATTACTCTTCTACAGGGTTATAACTAGTGATGCAACAGACCTCTGCTTCTGTATCTGCAACCGCGAAAGTTCCGCACGCTTTTTCACATCTGCTTCCGCAACTTTAATTGGAAGTGTACAATTTTGGCGGCGGATCAGGCGCTATCACTATTTGCTTGGCAGTGGGACGCTCGGTTTTTAGCAGTTTCATGTTAAGGGAAGTATTTATGAAACCAGAAACAAGCCCTGTTTAGAACAATTTCGTAGAGATTTTATAGTGTTTACACTTCGGCTTCCGCATCCGCTAACATTTTCTTTTAACATCTATTTCCGTTATAACACTTTCGTTGCATCACTAGTTAGTATAACCGACACCTAAAATTGGTATGTATTTCAAAGAAAACTTAAATTACCTATTAAAAACCTTGGGGAAGTTTCGTCCACCTAGATGGCAAGAAATGAAACAAAACTGCAACGCTAAATAAATTTTATTTCATGAATTCATGTCAATAGATATTCGGTATTCACACTCAAAGTTGCTTAAATGATAATGTCCAATCTGTTAATAAGTATTTAGTAGAATTTTAGTATCACGGAGCAGTGTAAGATGTATGATGGATGTGCACGAGCATCATTTGCAGGTGCCAGTTCTTTTAAACATTTATGTATGTACAGTTTTACAGTAACTAGCTATGTAGCGTCATGGCTGTTTTCGTTTCAAAACATTATCACATCTATTAAAATATAATCTAAATTGTGGACGAGCTTCGCGTTTTTGGTTAATAAGTAACGTGGAATAAATGTATTTACTTTCAGAACACAATCATAATAATTATGCTTTTCGTGGATGGTAATACTAAACGTCTGTCCATGTGGACGTACGAGCCGTATTTATCGTTCTAGAGGCTACATTTTACTCTTTGTATCTGATGATTCCTTTCGACGGATGGCGCACATTTAAACTGTCACACGGTGTTCAACTTAATAAGAACTGTTACTTCCTAAAAACACGAGCTCTTCACACATTTACAACAAATAAACGGGTGACATATGAACATACACAATAGCGTACGCGACTAGCGCGATTTTCCAAAAAAATATTTCTCGTCTCTTTGACAAAATGTCGCATTTGCCACGTAGAAGTACCTATACTGTTATATGAACTTTACAATATCGACTTTCTTGACCACTCTATTTCGGCACTTTTAATTGGGGTACAGATTTTTGAACCAGTAGCGCTGGAGTACGAACGTGGCACTTTTGTGTCCAACCAAAAACCTCACAATCACGTTTTGCTTACCTACTGTTAAGTCGTACATTAAATATTTTAATTGAACAACATCGACGGCGGATAATGCAACGATGATTTTATTATAATTTACATTTAGGTACACATTTGTCCATCATAACACTGCATTCTATCTAGTGACAATAAATAGACATTTATTTATTCTATTTTTACCTACAACTTCAACTTCCACAACACTCTTCGAACTTCCTAGTGCCATGACGCGGAGCACCCAAATTATCAGACTACACAGGAAATCTAGCGATTTTATGTAACTAATTTGCACACGTGTTTGTCACAGCATACTTTAATTATACACTTTTAAACTCTTTAATTAGTGCAAACATCAATTACATATTCAAGGCATAAAGATCTGTAGTGTTCATAACGTTAAATATAAATTTGCTGTACTATGTATAGTCACTAAGCGCTGTGAAATCAGTTTATTGTCGTACCTAAATTTGTAGTTAGACTACGTTTCTTCAAAGGATTCTATGTCATTCGGAAGTTTTGTATCCATTACATTATATTTCAATAGAATCAAAGCAGGCAGGGCCAAAGAACATGAGCAACAACAACGGGGAAATGTATGTGCCCTGCGCTATTAAAATGATGTCTTCGTCGCAAAGGCACTGGCTGAAGGCACTACGTAGTTTAAACTGTTTGACTGACAAATTCATTTATACAGGATTCTCTTAATAAATGGAAAAAAGCCACAAATATCGTGATTTACGATGAAAAGTTTCTTCATAAAACTATAGAAGCGAATAACTCATAATACGTCATAAAGAATGGCAGGCCTTATCTTTATTGCCCTTTTATAGAGCAATATGCCTAAAAATATTGCCATTACATAATAGGCATACATAGGGTTGAAATTACCGATAACATTATTATATTACGAAAGTAAATAATCAGTGGAGATAATGAATGTGGTTGTTCTTTCCATAAAATGTGGATGTTACATATTAGTGGCTAAAATGGTAAATGGTCCGAACATTAGAAGATGCTGGTGAAATACATAGCATTAAAACACAAAACGTCCCTGTTATTTTGATTCTATTGATGGGTTAACTAACTGATTATAAGTGCACGATAAGCTAGTACATGATCATTAGCGGCTACGAAGGCATGATTTCCAGAAATTGTGCATTCGCTCGATCATTACTGTACCGTTTATCTGGATCGTTATCATTATGATATCAGTATTACATTCGTGTTTTATTCTACAAGCAGGTTGAGAATTTAAAATAGTATAGCACACTTACGAGCTCTGTGGCAAATAGAATGTGGAATATAGCAATAGCAAAATTTATAAACAAATGTTAATTGTATCAACGTCCATTACTTATGTAATGAACCTTATATAGGGATTCCGTAACATATTATTTTGTCTATACGTATAGTAAGTACGTGAAAAATCTTTCTTAGCAAAATTGAAAATTTAAGCCAGATGTTTACCGCAATTTTTATAGCTCGCATGTGAGATATACTGGGCAAATATGTCGTGTAAAACAAGTAAATGTATAATAAGCAGAGATCGCAGTACGCAGGTATAATTTAGTAAACTTCAAGGAAGTTATACACATAGAGTGCATAATACATCCCTCTGTAATCCCGAATTATTGTACTGTATTCTTACTGATGTGAATAAGCAATAACTTAATTATGGTAGTATATTTAAGCTATTTTTTTTTGCAATTGAAAGCACAAATTATAACTATTTAGTTTTGAATTTTGCTGTTTAATTTTAATAATTCCAGGATTTTACAGAGAGTTATTTAAGTACTCTATGTGTATTACTTGAAATTTAGGTAAATACACTCTGCCTATTTCAATTTCAGATAAGAATTTCCTGTACTAAAGACGTTAGTTGTGTAACTATCTAAGTAAATTTTTTGATCCAATTGACTTCTTGATTTAAGGACTTCCGAAATTATACATAATATTGTTTATCCTATATTATGTACTAAACACACAAAAAACCTTACATTAAACTGACATGCATAAATTAGAACCAAAACAACAATTGCCATAATAAGTTAATAAAACAACTAATCAAGCGAAAACATACCTACACAAGAAAAACAATTCCAAATCCCCACAAATAAATTTCAACTTTAATTAAAAGAAAACGAACATACAGTTATGGCGCGTTGATCAACCATGGATGATATCATAAGAAGTCAACAATAAATCTATATACATAAGAAATTAATATTAATTACAAGTGTGTTTCGATTCCCAAGGGCATAACAATACAATTGCAAAGGAAGTCGTATGTTTGAGGATATATTCTTTCACGTCTATTAGTACCTAACACACTGAGGTCCTTTGTACTTAACAATTACAATTTACGGGAGGGGTACACTTTAAAAGCCCAATCTGTTCCTTCAGCAATTTGTTTCAAAATTAAGATTATACATCTACAAGCTATAAAGTGTAATTTTGAAATATTTGTATAGTAGTCAGGGACAGTTGAAATTCAATTAATTACATTAATGGTGTTATACATTTGAATATTAAGTATTTGCAGTCTTAAAATTTGTACATCCTCTGGTTTTGTCCAAGAGTTTTATATACAGTGGTTTAGATCAGTGTTCTACAGTTACAATTACTCAATATTAAAAAATAACTCCTCGCTGATTCACAAAAATACTTGAACCATTTATTTTGTCAAAAATATTCATCTTTTCTCAATTCTCAATGCTCACCCACCTGAGGAAACATACGTAATAAATTTATAATAATCAACATTATTTGATAAATAACGGATAACAATTCAATAGATTTCTATTTTTTACTGTACAAGTAAGAATTTTCAACATTCTGTTGTTAAAACATATACCTATTAATGTACAAAACCACAGCAATTCTCCTAATTCTATTACATTCATATAGTATCTATTGTAGACTGGTGATATTAAACAATTGCAAATTAAGCACAATAAGTTGGTCGATAGCGCGCTGACGCACTTTAGTGCGTTCTTGAGGTAATAATCAATTTATTATGCGTCATTACCTACATCTCATTAAGATCTCACTATATGGACACATTTCTTAATTAATCTTTAGTATTTTATGCAAGAGTGTGAGTCCCTTGTTGACTATAATCTTGATTGTAGAATAGGAATTCAACAGTCTCTGTTAAATTGCCAAATTACAAAGAAATCATTGACTTGCAGTTATAATAATGGTAAAAATAATACAGTTTCCCCTACCTACAGTTCTGACATGAAATAGACAAGTATAATCTGAAAATTATTGTTAATACAATAGTTAATTAAAACACAAAGGTTCAAGAGCAACAGTTCATAAGTAAAGGGCACATCTTTTATTGCCAGTAAAAGATTGAGGTGCTCCTCAACCTAACGACTATAAAAAACAATAATGGGAGAATTGATATGATCCACCACCATTTCTATAAATTTTGAAATAATATAATTATCAAAACACAATTGCTATAAATGTAATAAATATTTGTTCCAAGAATTATGAGAATGAAGTTCATGTACGAAAGAATCTTGCCTTTATGGAATAAAAAATGAATCTGTAGTTTACACCCAAAATGTCAAAATTGTTGACCAGCGTAAAAGTGTTAAACAGGAATAATTATTTTTTGCTGATGTAATAATGTTAAAAGGAAATTTTTTGATAAAGTTATATATCATTAACAAACAAAGCACAACAATAAATTATTCAAATATAATAATAAACATACATAATTTACCTACTGTTGAATGTATGTCCTCTCAATTTTATTCTAGTTTTCATTAATATAATATAGGTTTTAAGAAAATCAACAAATCACAAGCAATTCCATAATAAATAACATCAGTAGCAAATCAGGTAAACCACTCTTCACCAACAGAACAACCCAGTTGTATTATACATAGAAAAAGACAAAATGATATTTATCTAATTGTCGCTACAATCACAGAGATTATCATGAGCTTGTTAAATCAGATATAGGATCAAACAGAGTGGCCTTGGGATTGGTGTCGCTGTCCCCACTGACTAGAAGGTCCCTGTGCAGAGTTACCTTGTTGCATCCACGAGAGGAAGTTGGGAGGGGCTGGCGGGGCTGATGATGCAGGGCCGGCGAATGCACCCTGCTCTGAGCCACCAGATGGTATATTGTTGATGAGGCCCCAGCCAGCTGCTTGATTCAATGCAGCAGCCACTAAAGCTTGATTCACAGGCAAACCACCCATGCCTAAAGGCATGCTGCCTCCCTGGCCCTGTCCACCACCACCAGCCACAGCAGTCTGTCCATGCTGACCTGACATTCCCAATGCTTGCATATTCACCATATCCATGTTGCGGCTACTCCAAGAATTATTGTTGGAGGCATTGTGAGGATGTCCATCATCATAAATTCTAGCTGGTAAGTTACGTTGATTAGAACCACTCTTGTTCTGCTTTGGTGATGCATTTGAAACATTTACAGACACGCCTTTTATAATATGATCTTGACCACATAGACTTTGTGCAACTTCTGGATCCAAAAATGTTATAAAACTAAAAGCTCTAAATGGCTTTGGAATAAATACATCTGTCACTTCTCCAAACTGTGAAAAATACTCCCTTAGATCATTAGCTGATATATCTTCAGTACAGCGGCCAACAAACACTTTACAGGGCATTGATGTGACTGAGCCCTCCTTAGAGTTGGGTATTCGCACATCACACCACCTTCCATCTATCATGTGCCTCTGTGCTAGCACTCTCATTTGGGACGTGTAATTAGCGAATCTGATGAAGGCGAATCCTTTAGACATGCCAGTTTTAGGGTCTCTCTTCAGCTGAGCCATCAAAACATCTCCGAATTTCTCAAAATACTCGCGCACGGTTTGCTCAGTTGCCTTCCACGGCAGCCCGAGTACTATTAGATCTGAACATAGGTTATCGTTCTTTTTGTTCTTGCTTGAAGAGCTTTCCGAGTTTTCACCTGGCTTGCGTTTGTTCTCCTTTGGAAAGCTGCATATGTACAAGTGGTTACCCCATCCCTCTGGGGGAGGATAGAGCCTGCCATCTCTTAACCTGATTCCTCTAATGTTTTTCGTCTCAGGATGGCGATATTTTAATCCGCAACAACCAGGAAACTGCGCAGATACGGTACTTAACATCAACGTTCCATCTTCTTCGATTGGTAACTCTATAGGCTCTTCATTTTCGTCTTCCGCCACGGGCAAGTATTCGAAGGACATTATTTCTTACACATGAACTATATTAGATTAAAAATTGATAAAAATAAACACAGATATTATACTTAACACTATACAAATGTACAATTTTATTTCGTAAATAAATAAAATTAAACGTCAGCTACGGGTTAGGAACCCATTGCAATTTTTTTCAAGTTGAAAACATAGTGCGATGGCTCGAATTTGATCTGTTTTCAAGGTGGAGTCAAAGAGAATTTTATAGAAAATAAAGTATCAAATAATAGTGATCGCGCTCTAATAAAATAATAGACAACTTTCTAAAATGACGTTTACATCATCGATGTTGCTATACATTAAATAATAATTCTCCCATTTACAAAACTGTTTAGTCGGTTGTTTAGTTATACTTGCAACGAAAATATCTGTGTGAATGCGCCTTGTATTTTACAAAGAAAGAAAAATAGTGAATTGTATTGATGTGTTGTTTTCAGTAATTTTTGATTTATTAATAAATTAAGAAAGGTGAAAATATTTTCTACAGCATTCTACGTAACAAAATTAACATCAGTCTGAAAAGTTGTTTGTCTTTTTACCAATGAAGTGGTAATTAGAACATAACCTATAACGTGTTTTATCAGTTTTCTGTACATATTTCTCAAATAATTTCTATGATCCTAAAGTAACAAATCATTTATAATATGTTATTATTTCAAATATTTCATGTATAAACGTGATATTGATATGGATGACGACTGTAAAGAGTACAGGAGGAATAAACCACAACAAAAGTTGTATAAACCTGGTAGCGGACCGTTGCGACGATCGGGCTATGGTTTGGATGCGAAAATGGACTCGTACGGCGCAGAAAACGATGCGGCAAGCAGAGACAATAGTTATCTAGGGTCCCACAATAACGTGAACAATGTAGAAGGAGGTACAGGGCACAGAGAGCAGTCGGCGCCGAACGCGCGTCATAGAAAGCCTGAGCAACAGCTGTACGTGCCCAAAACAGCAGAATCCAATTCTGATATTGATAAACCGTCTAAGGCGTCTATGACGTGTGATAATTCTAGTCAGTATATCAATAGAAGAATGTCAAACAAGCAGGACAAACATGGTTACAACAGTGGTACAGGGTGTTATTCAAGAGGTGCCTCAAGAAGAGAATTTCATTACAAAGATGGTGCAAATAATGATATCAATTATAATAATAGAAATTATAGACAAGTATCAGAAACACGGTCCATATCACCAACACATTGTGCCCAGGAGCAGAACACAATGGAACGGAATAGAGACAGTAGAAGCATGGAGACCTCTGCAGGGAGAAACATATCTGGCTCAGGTGGGAAGCCTCCATCTGGCCGGAGAAACTCTGCCGGTTATCCTACTGACTCAGGCAGACCTAAGTACATGGTAAATTTAGATAATATACCCCCAAGATTTAGAAAGAAATTTTTTGAGCAGTCTGGCCACCACAGTTTTGACAGTGTGGACCAAATAAATAGAGACAGGCATTTTACTAACAATTCTGAGCACCACAGCTATGGTCAGAATCAGTTTCACAACACAAACCCTAACTGGTCTCAGACCCTACCTTCACGTGGAAGAGGCCGCCTCAGGGACAATGAAGGCTTTGACAGAGATAAGTTCATAAGTTCTTACTTGCGGACCTATGATGTACAGAACTCTAGAAGATCTACTCCTAGCAACTCATATTTAAATTTGTATGATCCTAATTCAGTTGATAATAGAAATAATGAGAAATTTGAGGGATATTCTAGCAATGCAGAGAGCCAGAAAGATTTTGACTGTAAGTAAATAATAGTATGACATTCTAAATTGCGTAACTAAAACCTAAATGTATAAGTAGCTATTCTCTTTTTTACTGCCTTTTGGAGTACACCAATAATGCTTACTTCACAGCAAATTTATATAACTAAAACCATATAAATACAAGAAATACTTATAACAGTATTTAAATGATTTGTTATTTTGCAGCCTCTGTATCTGTATCTAAAAATGGAATTAGCAACATGTCTAGTGATTTCTCATACCACCAAAAAGACAATCAGAAACATGAAACTGATAATGAACAGGACAGCGAGACTATTTCACAGATATCTTCAAATCTCATAGACATGACATTGGTAAGTAAAATACTTGGAATTCAATGAGGATGTAAGAATACATAATAATATATATAAAAAAAAATATAAATATATATAAATATAAATATATATTGGCGAGTACCATTACTGTGAAATACCTAAGTCCAGTGTGCCAAAAACTTGAACAGAAATAGAAAATCCTATTTTCTGATCTGATTTCTCTTTAAATAAGTTAATCTTTTCTCAGAGGCGTAATGAGGATTTCCTGATAATAGATGCATAATATTGTGAAATAAGACCTTCACTAGAAATATTTATTTCCAGTTATTAATTTAGTCATATTGTTCTCATATATATTACAATACATGAAAAGCAATTGTTATAAATAATCTTGCATTGATATATTTTGAATTTGATCAGTGATTATTTATTTTTTTCTTCATCTTGCATGCATCATGAAGTTTTGTTCTTATTATGGCAGTAATTTAATCTGTTGTAATCACCACTGATCACTTGTTAGCACTGAAACCTTTTGAGTTAAGGCTGTTCATAATTGTAAAATATGGTTTCAGGATTGGACTGAAGAAGTGGAAAAGAACATAAAGTTAGATGACATGTGTGATTCGTCCACTAGTTTTTCTCAAAACCTGAAGTCCTCAGTTTCACAGGGCGTGAAGGAGATTAAACCTGCTGAGCCTAAGGAATCTAAAAGACGATCTAGGCATAAAGAAAGAAGGTAAAAAATATAATAATACCAGAACTATAGTCAGAACAGAACTCTGATTAATTGGAACAAACTACAATAGCTTAATATATCAAAATTAGTCATTACGTTTTTATGATTCGGGATATTTGTATTAATATAATTATTAATATCTGAGTTTTCATTGTATATGTCATTAAAAATTTTCTTTAACAGAAGTTCAAGTAGGGGGCATAGGGCGTCAGAGCAAAAAACAGAAAGAAACAGAAAAGATAGTAATGTCAGCATGTCTGAAACGGAGAGGAGCAGAAAAGATAGTATTGTTAGCATCCAACATGAGACAATAGCTACTAGCTTGAAACATAAGGAGCGAGAGAGGAGGGACAGCCATAGGAGTAACCGATCTTCTACCCTGGGGAACAGTCGGGATGACTTGGACCGATGGAGATCCTTGCGCTCTTATAGCAGAGAACAAAGCACTGAAGGGTATTGTACCTTATGAATAACGTTCTGTAGTGTTAATCTGGGGATATAGTTTTTTTGACACACTGAATTTTGTATGGTACACATTGTCAACTTATATGTTTTTCAGGAGAATAGTATCACAATGCAACAGCAGAGATCCTTCAGCCAATCGCGCCATGAGCCCAAGAGATAATGATGGTTTCCGTGTGCCTTCTGCAGTTCCTAAGTCTGGCACATGGACAAATAATCAAGTTAGTATATTAGTACTTTCTTTAACCATTAGCGCGCATCTGTTACATGTCTTAATTGACCTTTTAGTCTTTTTTTTAAACTAAATATAACAAAACTGGAAATATTGTCAATACCTCCAGTGTTGTTATGTTTAATATCTAACTTATAGATAACATATCTGACTGTAATATTTATTACTAAATTGCAATTCTAAGTAATGAAAGTAATTTTGAGTTACTCAAAAAACTACTTAAACATATTGCTTTAAAGGCGGCAATGGGACATGGATGGCATTACTATGTAGCATGTCATATACTTGCAATTAAATGAAGTCGCGTGAAGGTGATGGATATAGCACGACATCCCTACCAATATATTTCAGACCTATACGTCCCGTGTAATATTACGATAATATTAATATCTTTTTTCAATTTGTATAATGATGTAAATTAACGGAAATTCGAGAACTAATTATCAAACACTTATGCACAAAATTCTGTATTTTTAATAACTATGAAATATTCATAGTTTTCAGCTTTTTTTTTGTTTATTGTAGAAAAAGAATGGTTCCTGGGCACCTGGCCGTACTTCAAGCACAGAACGCGGTCGGCAGTCACCAGCACCGAGCGTAGTCAGCGCGAGTGGGGAGGGCGGCGGCGGACGGCGCGCGCGCAAGCGAACGGGCCGCCGCCGCAATAAAAACACCGACGTCACAGTCCCTGCACCCGCGCCCAATCCTCCAGGACACAACCCCGCGCCCACCGCCACTAACTGGCGCGAGGAGATACTGGAGTCCAAGAAACACACGCACGACAAGTTAATATGCGGATAATTATCAATTCGAACATAACTCTCGAAAATATCACAGAACTGGTTATAGCAAAGTATGGTCACATTGACCCTACGACACGATTCTACTAAGCAGGTTTTTTATATGTATTTGTTGCATAGCTCAGTGATGAAATAGTGACGTTATGTGATTATTTCTACACTTGTGTCTGTGTACGAAGAAAGTTTATGGTTTATTTTATTATAACAATTATTTTATTACAGACATGCAGAAAGTACACACCAGAGGAACAGATTGAACAGTGCGATGTCGGACAAATCGATGTCGGAAACGTCCACTTCCCACCCCGGTATACTAATACTTCCACAGAGTTCAGCTACACATCTACAAAAGGACCATGGGTACGTAGCATTATATGATGGGGCTTAATTCTTTTTACTCTGCCTTTTTTATTTGAGTCTAAATATACGAAAGACTTTTGCTAAAAGTTATGATATCATCGCGTAATTGGATAGAGTGATTATATAGCAGCAGACTGCAGGTGTCACTTCTAGTTTCTATAAAATGGTATGAAATCTATTTCAACTATGGCGACGTGTGTCGCCCAACAGGTGCAGGAAATTTTAATACTAGTAATAGTAGTATTCCGATTGGATACTGCTCAAGCTGTGTCATAGTTGTGCACTAAAGTGCAACAGTTGCGCATCTTGGTCCACTGCACTATGAATGATATTCAACAACACGATAATGTTGAACAAACCTGATAAAACAGATATATTTAGATAGACTACTAAGTGTTATTATTATATTTTGGAAAATATTAATATGTAATTTATTATTTTAGGCGTGGGGGTTCAGTAGAAACACAAAAAACATTGTTCGATCACCAGAATCCATCCAAACCAATTATTGTCCAAACTAATTCTTCTAAATTAGACATGAGAATGGAACGAGGTAAGCTGTTATGCATTAAACATTCTTATTTTATTGTTTTGAGAACGTACAGTGTGTACTTACAATTTGTACCCATTTTATCTGGATAAGGCGAAAAAAATATCCTACATTAAACTTAAAACCATCACAAAAATGCCATACATAGTTCGAAAATGTGTTTTAAGTTACACCCCTAAGAACTTTTGCGAATTTCAGAATAATAATAATTGTTTTAGATTTTGGTTTTAATTCCACAACACAAAATCTAATTCAAAACTCGTGTAGTTTGGAAGTAATAGCCAATTTTGTTAACATCTTAATTGTTCGTAGTTAGTATTGACACTTTTTGTAAAAACATCTTGAAGTATTTTGTAATATAAATTAGTCCATAGTTCATTCCTTCAAAGACTTATGTGAGCTTTCAAAGCGCATATTTTATTTCAATGTTTCAACATTACAGCGAGCGAATTAATTACTAAACAAAATGGCTCATGGGTCAAAAGCTCAGGTAGAAATCGATCCCAGGATCTCACTACACAGAAAGCAAACATTTACATAACTTTGTAACATGACACAAGTTGAATCGCTGTATCACACACTATGTGGTACAAATTAATTTTCAATTTTAATTAAATATATCGTATTTATTCAGTACACGTATTACTAGTTAAAGATTTCTTATTGCGGTATGCAATGGCGGTATGAGTTATTCTTCTCTCAAGAATTCTAAGAGACTCCTGGAGTATTGTGAACGATTGTTGTTTAATATATTTCAGGATTAAAAGAATCGTCGAACCGCGGTGGATCGGGGTACGAGGCAGGCGATGCGGCTCGGGCAGCTCGGCACCGTGCCTTGCTGCAGGAAGTGGACCGCGAGGACGCCATATTGCAAACACACATCTTGCGTGGACCGCTTGCTTTGGCAGCTCACTGGGACGATGTCATAGAGACCAGGTAAATTATTTGATTTATTGTTACAGGCGCAGTGGCCCTACCACTGCCTTTCACCCTGAGATATAAGTTGGCAAGTCTCATGTGCCTTTAATTTTACCAGCACCCTTGTCCTTCAAAACCGGAACGCAGTAATGCTCACATTACAGCTTGTCGGCAGAAATAGGTAAGGACAAGCGAACCTTGCGATCAAGGACCTCTGCTGCTACTATTCTACAAAAACTCGAAAACTATCCTGAAAACCGATCGTGAAATGGTCTTGTTTGTATTACAGTTTTCAATCAATGTTGTAGTGGTTAATAAAACAAATTAGTTATTTAAAATTACCACATTTCACGTGGCGAGTGCCAACTTTCTTTCGCTTTCTTTAACCATAAAATTGCGCCCATTGACATGACAAAACCTATGACAAAAATTCACTGTTAAAGTCCATATAACATTGACTGACTTTTCTATGTAATTGTACATATGAATGTACCGAACATTCACGTTATTGTCAAATTTTCGATATTCACAACACTTGCCCTGAATAGACTATCATTATTATTATTATTAATATAAAGATCGAAAACAAAGAAACATTCCTTTGACCTGACAGGACTTGAACCACGCTGTACCGTTGCGACGCTCTGCCAACTGAGCTACAGGTCAAGGCACCATGTCGACAAAATTCCTCTATGTGTCTGTTATAGATCTTTGTATTGGGTTTTTTCGGTCACCAATGCCGTAAAGATAATAATTTATTTTATGTATATACATTTCTAATTCCCTTCTACTTCTTACGACTTCCATCACTGTCCTAACAGGTCATTGCCTCGTATTGATCCTCCTCGTTTTAACTAATAGGATCTTCTAATCCTCCACACATACTTTCCTGCAGCCTTTCATTTTATGTATTATATCTTCGTAACTTGTGTTCAAGAAGCGGCCTTTGTTCCAAATCTACAATGTTTCATGATACTTTATTTTGTAGACTTCATGATAACTAAATACTAACAACGCAGCGCCGTAATGTACTCCTTGCGGACTTCTGGTACCTCGCTTTCAGATTTTTGGCGTCTAATATTTCAAGCTACTTTTTTTCTTCTTAATAACCGACTAATTTTCTTAACAAATATTATATTATTAATATTACCAAAGTTAAAGTAAATAGCGCTTCACCTTGTGACAACTCTGGCATCCATTTGAGTTCTAAGAATTGACGTATTTGGTTTCAGTGAACCAAAGTAACCAATGTCTAATTATTTTTTGTTTACAGGAAACAATTGCAAAGTGCTCTCCAAAGACTACTAATGTCTGATCTCAAGTATTGCCAAGCCGAGAACATCGAACATCACTTTTGGAAGATTTTATATTATAGTTTCATAGAAATTTTAAGGAAAAGTTTTTCTCAAGTATCACCTGAAGATAAGCCGAAGATAGTCAAACTTATAAACGTTATTATTGATGAAGGAAATTTGTTTTTCGAGAATCTTGTCCAGATGTTAGAGAAGGCTTATAAATTCAACACTGACGATTACATTAATGACAATCATATGTTGCCTCCAAAAGGGCTAGGCTATGTGGGGCTGGCGTTGATCTCAGTACAAAAATTATACGTGTTTCTTGGCGACTTAGCAAGATATAAGGAACAAGTGAATGAGACAAATAACTACGCGAAGAGCAAATTTTGGTACACAAAGGCTCAGCAGATCAATCCTAAAAATGGACGACCATATAATCAGTTAGCAATATTAGCTATATATGCTGTAAGTATTAAAAAACAGTCAATACAACTAAATTAATAATGACAAGTTGTCTTGGTACATCCAACATATTTCTGTAAAAAAGAAAAAACCATCCAAACATGATTATCATACTATTTTTAACTACCGCTAAAGATTCAATTATTGTTCCAGAGAAGAAAATTAGACGCAGTATACTATTACATGCGAAGTTTAATGTCTTCGAATCCATTTCATTCGGCAAGAGAAAGTTTATTGTCTTTATTTGATGAAAACAGAAAGAAGGTATGTACAATTTGGACCACAATTTCAAGACTCCGCTTATACCTGTTTTTTTTTCAAACCTCTTGCAGCTGTAGCAATATTATTTGGCGTAGAATTAAAATTCATATAAATGGTCTCTATAGTTATTGAGTCTCTAATATGAAATTCTGCAATAACCATAATTGCTCCAAGCAGTGCGCCCATTTTTATTAAATAACGGCTCATGGACCTATAGATAGAAGATAGAATCTTTATTTCGACTACTGAAAGACGACACTCCTATTCTGAGGCGCTCCACGGCAGTTTCGATTATGTTTAGACCTTATTAACATCAGTTTAAGCAGTGTTTGGGATATTCTATTTTGAAATATTCCGCTATGTCGTCCATAGGTACGTTCTCTCGTTACCATAAAACTTATTCTTACTGTGTAGGGCTAAGTATTTTTTTATAGCAGTTAAATTTAATCAACTCCAATTAATTATACCAATCAATACAGACAATTATAATTATAATGGAGGCCGAGCGTTACGAAACGCAGGAACACTAAAATCCGTTGCCCACCGTACCGAACTGGCAACTAGAAATCCGCGGGTAATAGGTCCCCGATTCTACGAACATCTACCCACAGACCTGAAAACTGTTAGAAACGATGAAACGCTTTGTACCCGACTAAAAATCCTTTTATTGGATATTGAATTGTACAGTGTCGATGAGTTTCTTTTGAAACAATTTTAATTTTATTTTATTCGACAAGCAGTAGTTATACTACTTTATTTTATATTCATTATTATTATTTTGTTACTGACGATCATAGTTATCCCTTGACATTGTATTTCCAATTGTAATATTGTGACATTGATAACATGAAATAAACGATTCTATTCTATTCTATTCTATTCTAATATATTCAGGCGGATATCCATGTTAATAAAAATGGTATATTTTTGGTGGTGGTGTTTGTGACTGTAGATGGGCTTGTGTTATTCATTTTATGCAAAGGGAGAGTGGGAAAATTAGCTGCATAAAAAAAACGCAACTTGTGTTGAATATTTGAAATCAATTCAAATCTTTAAAGCTCTGAGTGGCACTGCAGCTGCTATGGATAGGCATGTCACTTACCAGCAAATTAATTTACTTCCATTTTTATTCATTTTAACCATGGCTATATTACATTTGAGGAAAAGTAGACAAAAATAAACTCTAAACATTGAATACGGAGGAGCTGATTTTGTTTTTCACGATGTCTGAACAGTTTCTATAATAAAAGTAGTTCGTATTGATCGATACAATAATACCTAAAATATCGTTAAATAAAGAAAACGCTCTAAATAGGAACCTGACTCAGCTATTTATTTATGTGTTTGTCAGTACGAGGCAGCAGAACGCAAACGTCGAGCGGCTTTAGAAGGTTCTCGTAATGGCGAAAGCAGCGAAGTAACTGTGAGCGGGACTGGGCAGAGTTTGCGGCGCGAAGTATGGGTGCGTCCCAGCGGACATCGCACTACCACATTGCGACGTGATTCTAGGGATGAGCATTTGGCTTCTATGACTCCTGTTGAGGTAATGTATTAGTGTGCGCAGTCGGTGGAAACAATGTGGCTAAAGAACAATGCCCAAGTTCCATGCAGTCGTGGATCAGCTAAAAGAGTTTCATTTATATGTCGATATAGTTTCTAATTATACTAGATTTACACACTTACACAGGGATAGTGGATTTTGAGGTTATGTTAATAATGAACATTAATATGTGATTTTGTAGTACAGAGTTAATCATTATTCTGAGATAAGTATACGTACGTACGTACGTAGGGTACGCATTTCACTACGACAGACGAATGAGATGAAAATGGTGCAAAAATGATAGTATTTTGTAATATGCTTAAAAAAAATTGGATGCGGTGTGACCATTATTTTTTAACGCAGCAAAAATTTTGACATTTTATTTTAGGTCTCGTTTACACTTCTTGAATTTTCTGACAACTTTGAAGTCAAGTTCAAGTTAAGGAAGTTGAAGGAAGACAATACTAATAAACTTTCTTTCATAATTATCTCAACGTATGATAAGTGTAAACGAGGCTTAAAATAAAATGTAGGTTGTATAATGTCCAAAAACAAATATTTGGAATGCTTTCCACATGTTTTTACGTATTTTTAAAAAACATTTTTTTTATCTCCGACTTATTTCAAAGCTTTATGAATGAAACGTATATTATTTTATAACGTATCTTTAGATGGATATAAATTTTCAACCGGTCGCGACAAAAACATTTACCGAGTTCAAAATGGGCGTAACAAAAAGGGGCATTGTTCTTTACGCATTCGCATTTGTGTCCGATATTGAGAAGTCAATTTTCAACGGTTTTTTGTGCTTAAATTCACGATTGAGCGCAATAGCAAGCGAGAAAAATTTGCACACATTTTCCGCTACATTTCTCTTTAGTCTGAAGTGATGCCTAGTTTAATTGTTTCAACAAAAATGCCCTGTGTCATAGAAATTGTGTGACAAAATAATAAATATCATGAAAATATTTTCATGAGTTTGTCATAGGTGGCGTTACAGCAAAAAAAAGCTGTTAAAATCTGCTGACTCGATCTATGGCTCAGTTGGTAAGAGCGGTAGCCACGGTGAGGCAACAGATGCTGGTTGGAGTCCGATCCGAATTAGGATTACTAAGGAATTTTTCTTTTTGATTGTTCGATCTTTGTATCAATTTTCAAGAGGTTTTTTAAATACGTTGTTTGGTCGTTATAGGCAAGAATTTGGCCGCAATCCATCTGTAGGGCTAGCACGACAGGACGCGATTTGCTCGAGAGCGGCATAAGGCGCGAAATCTCTATGCGAGAATAGCAGTATCTTGTGTTTCATGTCGTTCTCGCTCAAGTCATGTCCTGTTGTGCTACCTCTACTGGTGATATGTCGAATATGTTCAAATGTTTGCGTATAATACTTGTATTCACTTTCGCCTTTAAAGGGAATATGTTGTGTATCGTCGCCTTAGAGAGTAAACCTCGCACACGCGTTTTGACATAGCTCGTTTTGACTGATTTTTGTTGAAAAAAAAAAAGAAACTTATAAACTTCGTGTTCAAATATATTATTAAAGTAATATAGTATCTGAAAGAGGTATACTTTAACTAATTAAAATGCTAACTACAAACATTATTGCGTTAACTATATTTTAAACCACATTTTTATCTTCGTCCTGAAAAATTACATAGAAACCACATTCGAGGTTATTCACTCTAAGACGACGATATATTCTGGATATTTATGACAGATTTTAACTAATAAAACTGTTTTGTTACAGCTGAACAAAACTTTCATTACCAGCTATTTACATGTGCACGGAAAACTTATTACTAAAATTGGGTAAGTTTTATACAGACAGCGCTTGTAAATATAACCGTTATGTATACTTAATTTAATTTGAAAAGTATTCAAATTGGGGATTATATTACTACTAAAGATATCCTGGGTTTGTTCATGTTCAAGTTTTTAGTACAACGAACAAATTGTGTGTCTTAAAAGATCCTTCGAAAACGCACCATATACACCTCGTCTTAATCAATAATTAATAACGACAGTATGGAGACGTTTTACGAGAGCGCTTCGCTGATGCTGCGGCAATTCAGAGCCTTGCTACATCGACAACCTCTGCCGATTCCTGCTGCAAGGCTGCTTCAACTGACTGCTCTTAACATGTTTGCCGTTGAGACTACTGCTGCTTCTCTAAAAGGTAAGATAATTATCGATTGTGCTAGAAAATTACTCTTATTATCTGGGGCCTAAAGATTTAAGTGGCCATAAATCCTGTCTAAATTTTTAAAAGATTTAAAGGTTTCTAAAATGTGTATATTTTACGCTTAATTTCCGACTGCCTGACTAATGCGCTGTCAAAATGAGCTGAGTGTTCAAACTTACCAAAATTCTATGCGTGGTAAATGAACCTTAAGTCGCATTTTCAATTGTTTTCGGACGACAAATGCTCAGATCATATTGACGCTGACTGTACCAGAGTACATAGTAATTATGACTTGTCATGCCATATGTATGACTCTGCCTATATTTGAAGTATACAATCGAACATTGCAAATACAACACTATACAATGGATTAAAAAACATTTTGTTTCATTTTATGATGATTATTTTTCGGGCTTATTAGGGAAAACGCTTGCCTTCGTGTAGCCTTGCAAGCGTTGATTTTTTTTCCTAAGGAATTACTGAGTATTTCGAGCCACGGAGTTTTTCCTACTTTTTAATTTTAACAGTTAAGGAAGGTTCATAAAACTCGGTAAAAAGTAATACAAAAACATGCATTATGCATTGGGTCAGCGTGATGGACCGTGACGTAAACGCTCTCCGTTTATGAAGAGCGCCGTGTCCAACAGTGGGCTGTCAATGGATTAATGTTTCGGTTTTTAGTAGTAGTATAGCAACTTTTGAAAGAGTTTGTACAGAGAAATACTGCCATCTCACCTATTTCTGCCGAAGCATTACTGCGTTCCGGTTTTGAAGGGTTAAGGTCTATGAACACATATCCGTGTCCGGGCCGGCGCCGGGACGGGCCTGTAATTCATACAAACTACCACGCCCCGTCCACGTCGCGGGCATGGCCCTAATATGTGTGGTTAGTCCTTAAGGGTTGTTATGAAATTACAGGCATATGGGACTTGTCAACTTATGTTTAAGGTGACTGGCGGTGTGGTAGTGCCCCTCAGATCTTTGCGATTTAAATCTCTATAGTGGTACTGCAACTTCTATGGACAGGCGTGTTGCATACCACCAGGCGCACGATTTGTTCGTCCCGACACAAAAAAGTTTTATACAAACGGTTGTCTAATATACCATTAAATTACTTACATTAAAAGTATTCTCTAATTAGACCGTTCTGACGTTCTGACTCCTAGGTGCGAGAAATTCTCCGAGTTATTTTAATGTCTAGGCAAAAGATATAATTAGAAACTACAATCTTCATATCATAACCACATTCCTGCTTGCATTTACAACAACTGGTTATGTGTGGATATTTTGAACGTGAACTATTTGTAGTGTGGTACTTATGAAAATATGAATAGACAACCACGATATTTATAAACCTTTACATTTTTATGGCAACATATTTTATGTTCAAAGTTCCATAAAAGTGGTGCCGGCCGATCGGATACAAAGTTTTGATATAGTAAATGCGAAATTTATTTATCCATTGGTTGTTCCTAATTTCTAGTAGTTTTACGATTTGCACGTTATAGAAATTGAATTTTAATTCTGTTTTCTTAAAATGTGTTTGTCACTTGCACCGAAAAGGAATAGTGAGATTATTAACTATTTTATGAAAAAATTACGATTTTATGATATCACACTTATAGAGACTCACAGTTATGCCTGTAAGTTCCTCTATTATGGTAACAATATTGTTCAACACTGATATATTTTCACCATTAATCCTAAAATTGAAATTGATTACTCAAACTGAATATTGCCCAAGGTCCTATGCCTTATAAAGAATATAAATTTTTGCATTTTATATGTAATATTCATGTTTAAATAATACTATATTTATATGTATATTTGTAAAATTCATGTTACGAAGGAATTGAACTTCTTTAAATTGTGGAGTATTACATGGAGTATTACAAACTACAGCTCTGTAATAATATAATCATTTATTTATCGTACAACAGGGCCCTTTTGTGTTAGTTACAAAAACTATTCTTAGTCATTATTATTCAATAGAATTTTTTATTCTAACTAAAGTTGTTCAGTTGCATGGAAATTATCTTTTCGTTACACATTGTATGATCATTTAAAAATTTACCTAAACTTTCAAATGTTCATGAAAACGTTATGTACTCAGGAGTCTCGTATATAACCGGCGTGTTAAAAACAACTTACGTAACTGACAGTACAATAAAAAAAAAGAACATGACAAATAATAAAGAGGGGAGTATAAATAATATGAGTACACGTGACTATATTGTGTTGTTTATAACGGTGGATATTCAAAAGCGCTTTATTTATTTTAGATATTAATGAAATGCCTTATTTACTTTGTACTCGTTAGCACAAGTGGATAGTTTCAGTCATGGGGCCCGCTTATGCTTAAATAACATACGATTACATATGCTATACTTATACTTTACTTGAAATTAAAAGTACTGTCGCTCACTCAAAATAATTATCCATAAAAACAATACACTCTTTAATGCACACAACAACTTAATGTTTTTCTTTGTCTAAGAAACTTTTTATTTAAAAATAATATCCGGTGGGGGTACAGTATAAATAGAATAACATTTAATAATAAGAATAATGTCTATGTAATATTACTGCATCATTAGGAATGCTGGGAAACATTTCAAACATGCGCAAATACAGTTTACCTACAAACTAACATTAAAAACTGGTCGAAGCGAATGTCCGTATCGTGAGAATCGCGTAAAGATAATATTTTCTGCTGTATATTTTGTATTAAGCGTCGTTAACCGATATAAGAAATTCCTATATAATTCATGTTTTTTGATCGTAAGGGGCAATCGTAAATGCTTCATCGTAAAATTGGTTAAATTCTACTTCTTTTTTGGGAGCCTTTTTCCTCTGTAATCAGATATTGCATTTACTCATATCGAAATATTTTTTAACAAAACCCAATATACAATTTCTGCAGGGGTACAAAAATGATATTTTAATCGTCATAATAAAGGGTAATCATAGCGTTGGTGCTTTATAATTTGTAAAAAATACTTGTGGTTTTATTTATCAGCTGTGAGTAATGTTTCAGTTCAAAGACCTCGTGCGTGACACAGAAACCACAGGAATTTTCATTCCCAAATTTGATTATCTTCTCTTAATAAGCAAAAAGTATCATTGCGCTGTGCCAAGAGTCAAGAACTTTGTTTGGCATAAGGTGATTCATAAGGAAGAGCCATGAATGCAAAAAAAATAATTCTAAATTCACTTAATTAGAATTGCAAAATGAGATCGATTTTAATGCGGTAAATTTACTTTGACTAGATTTACCAGCGTGGTTGTATTATCTGTAGCCAGTTTAATGCTTTACTTATTGCGAGAGATGATACATGGGCAAGTAAAACTTTTAATTGCTAACCAACCATTTTATTCGCTTAATCGCCAAAGGTATAAAATGAAGCTCTCTAATGAATCAGGGCCTTAAAGTTGAGATAGAGCTCACTAACGTATCAAGGGTTTTACGCAGGCTTGTAAATGTGGCTATTTCCTGCGGCTCCGTCCGGGCGCAGTAAAGGTTTGTAATTACAAATTACAAGTTATTGGAGGTTGATGCACTGCACCGCGCAGTCGGTTGCCTGCGCCCGCGCCTATGCCCGCACGCCGCGCAAATGCACACATTTGACGGCGACAGGTTCAACAAACTGACGCGCCGTCGCCGACGGACAGCACAGTGACGAAAGGAGCGCTCCTTTACGCCATTATACATAATGATATTATGAAATATTAATAATGTATGTTAATGAATGTAATATATGCATGAAGTGTTCCTGTAAGGAAATATAATGCCATGAAAAATTATAATTGACCCTGTTTGTATCCAATACTGTGATTACTGGGTGTCCCCTGTTTATGCAAATTTTTTGGAGGTCGATTCAGATAACTGTTAACACTGTTAACTGTTAAAAAAGTATATAAATAAATTAATCGTTACTATTTATGTTTTTTATCATTTGTCGTTGGTTTTGTATTGTCGTTCTTCGATCAATGGGTAGTGCCGCCATTAAAGTGTTTCACACATAATTTTATGTATCAATTTCACATTACATTTAGCTTTGGTTGTTGGTGCTTATCAAATCATATACACATAACCACGTATTATCCGGTCAATTGACCATAATTTATACCCTGTTGTAAGTACAGATAACGTAACATTGCACGCTTCGAGTAAGCAAACAATAGCGGTATTTGTTTTATTATCAACATTTTAAGGCATTACGTTGTTCTTCTTTGATCAGAAGAGAAGCAATGTTTATCTGTAATGAGGAATAATAACAGCTTTCGCGGGGAAAGGTACTAGTTAGGACAGTGGGCGTATCACATTTGCAGGTGCAATTCTTGTGGTGTATTTTTAGCGAGGCTATTTATACAGGACCGGATCGCTGTGGAGCTGAGCTGTCGGTCACCTACCTAGTCTTTCCTATCATTACTAGCATCTACGTCCACTGCATCAGAATTACCTCTATGATTTATTCTATAACTATCATCACACTTTACATCAGAGTTGCGCGTTTATGACCTACTCGTTTCATGTTTTATTCATACATGTAAGTGATAGGACTTAGATGATGGTTAATTTGTCGCCTTAGAGCGAGTTTATGCTTTTTTTGCAATATTGTTCTTTATTGGATTGTCAGTCGTTTACATAAAAGTTCAATGTCTTTTTTACTTTGCGTATTTTATTATTATAAGGAGTAGAGATTCGCTTCCGGGATCTATAAATAGTGTTTCTGCTGAACAGGGAACACTGGATGTAGATAGAAAGGTGAATATTAAAAAAATAATAAAAGCTAACTTTGTCAATAGCTTTTATAACAAATTAATTTTGGAAATCTTTAATAACAAAATTTAGTTTAGTAGGAGTAGAGCTCCTTGTGAAAGAGTTCGTCCAGGGAAGTACTGCCGTTCTGCCGGCAAACGTAATGTGAGCTTTACTGCGTTCCGGTTTCGATGGGTAAGGGTGCTGGTGAAATTACAGGCACATGGGACTTGTCAACTTTTGTCTCAGGGTGACGGGAAAGTGTCACTCAGATCTTTGCGTTTTAAATCTTTAAGTGGCACTGCAACTGTTATGGACAGGCGTGTCGCTTTCCACCAGGCGCACGACTTGTTCGTCCCGTCTCTTGGTATCATAAAAAGAATTGACTATACGTAATAGTTTCGCATATGCATGTTAGTTAAGGGACGTGTCGTTTGTGGTAAGAATGGTTTCAAAGTCAATCAGCATGTAGAATTGTATAGTATTATTTCTTGTCACGCCTTATATCTGTGTGGAGTGTTGCCTAAAGCTCCTCGCGATTATCCGAGATTCGTACCGGTTGGTCAATAGCGCGACTGTAAAACCTACTTAATCCTTAATGACAAGGTTTTGATAACAGATGGCAGCAGCGGCGGTGAGCGATCGGCCTGGCTGGAAGCTGCTTTAGGAGTGTCCCTTCTCATGTTCGGAGCATTGCTCGAGCGTTGCTGTGCTCTGTTACCTGAGCCTGCGCACATGCAGCAGCACTCTGATGCATTGGTACTTCTGCCTGCTATTAAGGTAATTTGAACTCTGTAGCTACTTTTTCTTTTTTATACCTACATTAACTTGCAGGTTTTACGTAATTAATTAAAACAAATATGAGTACGAAACGTCGTTGTTAAAAAGGCATATCTTTTTATTCCCAAAATAGAACGGACTAACAGCTATAGAATGCCTTCATATCGGCTGACTGTACAATTTTAAATAAACAAAAAAAATCAAGTATAAGAACATTAATAAAATCAAGATTTTATTTACTCCTGTTATCTTTGAGTATAACCTTTTCTTTTGACGTAACTTTGTCCCACTATATTTTATACTTTATGATATGAGCCTATTGTGGTTGTATAGTAAATTGCGCTGTTTTTTACAGGTGTGGTCTGACTGGATGCTATGCCACAGTAGTGTATGGAATCCACCACCTTCATTTGACAATTTCGAAGTAGAGTTAGTATCATTTTATTTTAGTTATAATTTTTTATACAGAAGTGAAATGTGACAAAGTTTTTGAGTCTGTTTATATATTTATTGTTTTACTTCCGCGTTTAAGTGGCGAAAACGAGCCCTTTATAATTTTGTCGTATCACTCCAGTTTATTGTCACTTTCATTTCTAAATAATGATTATTTAATTTAGAAAAGTGTAAATTACCTTACCGGAGGTTGAAGGTAGGGCGTAAGTTCTGTCCTCATTTAAAATAAATTTTGAAAGTATGGATTTGTTTTAAATGGAAATCAATACAATAAAACTTTGTTGCAACATCTAGAATCAAAAGTGATGATCATTTAAAGAAATCCAGACATTGCTTTAAGCTATACTTTCAAAACTACGGGCATGAGCCTGGTCAAGCAGTTCACAACCATTTTAGCATGTCGCATTATTAATACAATAGTGTGTTAACTCTAAAAGTGTATTTTCTCAGTATCAACGAAAAAGTAATTACTCGCTTCCCGTGAAAGATCTGTGTAATTTTATGTATAAGTTATTTCCTACTTGCCAAATGTACGTATTTAAAATAAAAGAAAAAATAGTAATTTAATGTTTTTGAATAAGGACTATTTTGGCCAGAACTTGCTCACGTAAAGCGTGTCTCATTTTGAGTGAGTAGTAGTTAATTAGATGTATTTTACTTGTTTTTTTACAATATTCTAACGACGTTGTTATTGTCGTGTAGAGAATAAAATTTTACGTCTAATTATGGTATAATCTTGAATGTCACATATTTCGAGTTATAATAACACTATTGAAACAGCAGTGCGATGTGTTCTCTTAAATCACTAATTTATTATTTGATCAAACAGAAGCGAAAACGATCCTTGGGATTGGCTGGCGAAACTGATGAACATCCTAGAGAATCTAGATGACAAGTCGCTCAAGTTCGAAAGTGAAATGAAAGACGGTAAGAAGGTCTATCATCGATTATGTCCCTTTTATTATAAATCAATGACTATCGATGGATATTTTTTTTTTTTTTGTTTTTGTTGGCTCTTATAAATAGCGTCATAATAATCTGAGCGGTCAATCTAAACTAAAATATTACGCATTCAAAGTGGTAAAATGTTATCATTACGTTGGCATATAATATTTTTACCTACTTTTAATAAAAAAAAAAAACAATCTTATATTTTATTAATTTGTCTCGAGCGTGTTTATGCCTTTTTTTTTGCAATATTGTTCTTTATTGGATTGTCAGTCGTTTACATAAAAGTTCAGTGTCTTTTTTACTTTGCGTATTTTATTACTAAAAGGAGTAGAGATTCGCTTCCGGGACCTATAAATAGTGTATCTTGCGGACCAGGGAATACTGGATGTAGATAGAAAGGTGAATATTCAAAAAAATTAAAAACTATTTTTGTCAATAGCTTTTGTAATAAATTAATTTTGAAAATCCATAACAAAATTTAGTTTAGTAGCAATGGAGCTCCTTATGAAAGAGTCCGTCCAGAAAAGTACTGCCACCTTACCTATTTCTGCGCCAAACAGTAATGTGAGAATTACTGCGTTCCGGTTTTGAAGGGTAAGGGTGCTGGTGAAATTATAGGCACATGGGACTTGTCAACATATGTCTCAGGGTGACAGGCGCAGTATGAGTGCCCCTTAGATCTTTGCGATGTAGAGCTCAGAGTGGTACCGCAACTGTTATAGACAGGCGAGTCGCTTAAAAAAAAAAAAAAAGGTGTGTCGCTTTCCACCAGACGCACGACTTGTTCGTCTTGTCACTTGGTATCATAAAAAAAAGTGACTATACGTAATAGTTTCGTATATGCATTTTAGTTAAGGGACGTATCGATTGTAGTAAGAATTGAAAAAGTCAGCCAGCATGTACAGTTGCGTAGTATTGTTTCATTATCACACTTTATATCTGAGTGGAGTGTTGCTTAAAGCTTCTCGTGATTATCCGAGATTTGTACCGGCGTGGGTCAATAGCGCGAAGGTAAAACCTAATTGATCCTTAATGGCACGGTTTTGTTAACAGATGGCAATAGCGGCGTTTTTGATGGCCCTTATAAACAGTTAGCGTCTTAATGATCTGAACAGTCAATCTAAGCAATAATATTACCCTTCCGAAGTGGTAAAGTGTTATCATTACGTTTGCTCATAATATCTTTACCTACTTTTAATAAAAAACAATCTTATGTTAAAAAAATCTGAGAACAAGTGACAATAATTTCCTATAATGCATCGAATTCTTAGGATTTCGCGATTGCTACACATTGAAAATGAATTATTTTTTTCGGATCTAAATCGCTAAATTTTGTTTTTTTTTTCTATCTAACACCAACTGACTAACTGGTAAATAATAGTAGTAGTACTGGTAAATAGTCAGTCGTGACCACGGTACCTGTAAAGATCCCGAAACGTTGGTTTGTTTTAGAAAACAAATATGTTCTTTTCAGGTCTCAAATAATAATTTTATTTTCAATTTCCGTTACACATCGGTAAATATTAATCAATACAACATTACTGTTGCACTGACACTTCCACATACAAAGTTATACGCACTAATTCCTGTTATTGCAAACAAAGTTGATAGTAATTTTGTATAACGGTAATTATTAAACGATCGTTTCAATGATAGCGGTATTGAGTCGAGCCGTCGCATTTTGTTTACCTTTCATATTCCACACTCGTACGTGTTGTTACTTCACACGGATAGTAAAACCGTTTAACTGCCGTGTGAAGTACTCTTACATCACTTTATGTTAGTGATCGATTAAAACGGTGCGTTGTTATATATTTTTTTTGTCATACTCGCACCTGTACTGTCACCATCACGGAATACAAACCAGTTACCACAGTATAACGATGTCTTCTCTACAGTAGCGTAACGACTTTGATGTTCGGCGATACCGCCGCCCGTGTAGGGTTGTCACAAAATGGAAAAAATGTGATTATTGTTATAACGTAATCATTTATCATAAATGATTATTACTTACCAATAATACACATAATTATTTAATAGGGATTACATCATTGCCAAGAAAAGTAAGTACTGTACTCCAGGCGATAATTTTCTTTAATAGATACGGAACAAAAACCTACCTTAATAAAAACTTCTTCTGTCTTTAAAAAGAGGGCATAGTAGCCGAGTATAACAAGTGCGGTAAGTCCATACAAACTTAACAGCTCGGATGTGCGCATTGGCATAAGCTCGCGATGCACTCGCGTTGTATAGCGGTTGCTCGGTGTTTAAAAAATGACATCAATTAGTAAACGTGTTTATTGTTGTGTTTGTGGTAATTTGAACACGAGTGCCTTAAAATTCAAAATTGTCCAGCAGTATCAAGATACCAATCCGCGATACTGGTATAAAAACACCGACAGCTACAGTACCTACTGCATTTAACACAGGTTATTTCAATATAACACCAGAATACTGTGATGAACACTTTATATTTTTCGAATTATGTTTACAACCTGTAGGTACAACTAAAATAATAATGTAACAACCCTACGCTCCGAGCGAAGTGTAGGCCTTTACGCCGAACATTCGAGAGTTGTCCTATTTGCCCTATTATTTTTATACTACGATAGTAGTGAGGCGTGCCCGCTTTGTTGTTGAATGCAATCCTTGGCATTTAGTGTATATCTTTACCATACTTGTCATTACTTATGTCAAGCATGCCAAGTGGCTTTTAAAATCATGCAGTATTCACATCACATATCTGTATGTTAGTAACGAAACAAGCTTAAAACCTAGTATTGCACTAATTGTCTTTTTATAATTAATACGTGAATATTCTGACAGTGAACGATTTAATTCTGCTTTCCCCTTTCCTTCTTCGGGGGACTAGATGTAGGCTGGAGTTCCACCCCTATCACGCGATCAATAAGTTAGCGATTATTGAATCGAAAGGACTAGGAAATTACATGCAATTAAAATTCGATAAAATTTCCATTTAAAATGAATTGACCCTTACACGACTGTTCAATCCCTATGTAAGGTTAACAACCAGATTTAGCTGTAAAACTTGCAGTAAAAGTCGAGTCAGAGACCTGCGACTCGTTTTAGATGTAATTGATGACCTTTTAAAGGCTATAAAATGGGTGGTAAGGTCTACAATGTCATCTATATGCAGATTACAATTGTAGTTACGTGCCATACCAAATACGTGTACTTTTGAGATACTATTTGTAGACTTAAAGACGACAACAGAGAACGTGTTAAATCGGGTTGCATTGTTGCCGGTAATAAAAAAGATTGATTGATGTAATTACCGATCGGACAGACGGGAAACACTCGTGATGTTGACTATATTTGTCCAGGATATAATTCTATTATGTGCATTCTCAGACGTGTTATTATTGGTACAGGTCTGGCGATAGTGCGGCTCGCGGAGGACGCCTCTCTGGCAGGGTTCACGCCATTGATGTATATGGAACCTGCGGTGGCATGGACGCACGACGACCCCGCCGTGCCGCCACACGCCGCCGAGCACGCACTGCGCACACGCAAGCTACTCTTTTTTGGCACTGAGTTAGTCAACATTAATAACTTAATTGTTTTGTATTTATTGCGGTTTTCTTTGTTATTCCTCATGAACAAAAATGGTTGTTGAAAATGGACACAATTTTTTTCGACTTTTTACTAAAGCACTGCCCTCGTAACGAAAAAAGGCACAAGTATATACTATAATATATACTTTATATAGCAGTTGTACCTTTTTTCGTTCTGAGGGCAGGGCAGCTTGTTTCATGAATTTTTCAAGCTAGTTGAATTATCGTTAAATAAGCTAAAATCGTTAAATAAATTATGCTCCTAAGTTTTATTATTTGGAATGGAATGAATAATTTCATTCACATGTATTATTTTTGTATTTGTTTTAGATATCTAGTAGGAGTGGAGCCACCAGTTCTAAAACTGGAGTACCCCGCTGGGGCTCCTCCGCGCTACGTGAGCGCAGTTCAAAAAGCTACAGTGACCAACCTGCCCTTGCAACACTTGGTAACTATACCTGACCAAAAGGTTAGCATACCTAAGTTTGAACTTGATTTCTATACATGACATTTTAAAATATTCTCTTTACTGAACAAGAAAAACTACACTTTGTACCTGATGAAATTCCATTTTTTTTTGGTGTTTTACAAATGAATGTGCCGTGTTCAAACTTGGAGTGAAGTGAGAAATTGGTAGTCACTTTTATGAGCACATTTTTTTTTATTTGCACGAACGCACTTTATTATTTGTATTTGCCAATAGATAGTAGATGACTTATTTTATACAGTTCTTTTTTAATTATAACGGTAGTTAGTTATTTAAGTTACATGACACGAGTTAATCCCGACCTGTCACACAAATTTCAGTACAACAAATTTGTCACAGTGTAGACACGTTGGAACCTGTTTTTTTTTCTGTCTGTGAGTTAGTGGAGTCGGGATTAAATCGATGAATATCATAAGATGAAGCAATAGAGTACATGTTTGTTTGCAGTCTGAAGACTCTGAGGATGATAGTATGGTAGTGTCAAGTGGCCCTACCAGTATGAGCGAAAATGTGGACGGCTCGGAGGGAGCCTGCGAAGCTACAAAAAGACTGCTAAAGCGGAAGGAACAGCTGGAGTCTAGAAAAGCCTCGTTGGAGAAACGCAGAGAGCGTATGCAGGTTAGTAAATGCAAAATCTGAGATCTGGAAAATAATCTTTATCATTGTTGTGATTAATTGCAGTGTAGAACACTTGAGTTTAAGTCTTTCCTTGTTCTTTGTTATTCTAAAAAAAATACAGCTCATTCAGTAACAATCTCATACCTACTTCTCTCTACATATTTAAGAGATACAATCGCGACGCAAACCCAGGTTTTATATTCATGTACAGTAGTACATGAATATAAAACCTGGATGGACTGTAAAATATAGATATTATTCGTAGTTAACCTATGTTTTTAATTTAATTAAAGCGAAAAAATAACATAAAACAAGATCACGTCAAATCATAAACAACAAAGCCATCAATAAAAATATAAAAGAGTTTGCAAAACTAACGTTTCGAATTTACATGTCTGAAAATATATTCAACATAAGCGACTGCATCGATGCAGTCGCGCGTATCAATGCAAACGCGCAACTGCCTGTACAACTGCGCGTTTTACAGGCAGTTGCGCGTTTGCATTGATACGCGCGACCGACCTACGCGTGATCCTTTTATTGTGCGTGAGAATCTGATTTATCTTCCCTATAATCTATTTATTCGTTTAGCCTATGTATATATTTTTTTATAAATTATATTTTTTTAAATTTGGAATCTGCAGGAAATTCTTCGTGGCGGTTGGGTAAGCGTAGAAGTAGAGGTGCGCCCACACTGGTTGGTTCCCGATACAAACTGCTTCATCGACCATCTCGCCCTGCTGCAAGCCGTAGCTGCTATGAATTCGCAGCCCTACTTACTGGCCGTACCCCTTGTCGGTTAGTATTAACATTATTGTATTGGTACAGAAGGGAACGCTTTTCATAATCAACATTTGAAAATGTTTTTACTACATACAATTTTTTAGCTGTAACGTCAGTCATGTAATAGTGATGAACGTTGGTCGCCAGCTAACTATTGTTATTAAATTTATTGGTGAATAGGGCACGCAAACCGGTTACTCAGTTAACCGAAAAACCGAGTAACCGTTCATTTTGGAACCCGGTTTTCAGCTAAAAAAAATCCGGGTTTTTGGGTTTTGTCTTAAAACTATCATCGTAAATTCGTAACTCATAATATCATCCTACTGTGATTTAAATGATAAATAAACGTTAACTAAATGCTAGGCACTCGGGTACCTGACTACAGTGTAGCAACAGCGTCCGCAAGATGGGTGGAGGTAATGTAGTGAGGCGTGAGTGATGTGCGCGTGCGCGAGCCATATAGCGTCAACAACTATTAAAAAAACTTTGTAGTTAAAAAATGTTTATCTTTATAAATATGCATATTTATTTTAGAATAGTGCCAAGTGTTGTAGATTTGTTTTTTTTTATTATAATTCCTGAAGTTGATTGATCTCATTGCGGCTGTGAATTCCATAAATAGTAAAAATAATGTAAAAAACACTGATTTAACGATTTTTCAATATTTAAAGAATTATTTGAGTGACATTTGAAAAATATCCAAACAAACCGAATAACCGAGTAACCGAAAAAAAAAAAATTTCGAAACCACTCGGTTTTTGCTTGCCTTTCTGGTTTACAAATGCAACAAAGCTTCTAGAGGAAAGAGAACCAATAATTTATCTATTTCACAGAGATAATATAATAAGATTCATTTATTCATTCAATCATTTGGATATAGATCCGATCAACAGATACACGTATCAGGAGTTGCTGCTTAAAGTTCAACAATATAATCTGTGGTCTTATAAAGATGTTTGTGGCTTCTTTTAGAATTGAAGTAGACCCTTATCGCTCTTTACTTATGTTCTTTGGCAGTGTTGACGGAGTTGGAAGGTTTACGCAAATGTTCGCGAGTAGGCGAAAACGCACAAGCAGCATTGACCTGGATTAGCGAGGGGGGTGGCGGCGGGATACGACTGGCGACGTCACGGGGGTCCTTATTAGCATCGCGAGCGTTCACCGCCGAGCGCGATCAGACACGAGCAACCAACGACGATCGCGTGTTAGCTACTGCTCTCAACTTGCATGTCACTCTTGCTACTGAACCTGGTAAGCCCTTTTATAGTGAACATTCAATATTTTTCTTAACACTAACTGGAATACAATTGTTTTGGATAGAGAAAACCGGTGACTTATAGAGTGCTTTAGTTTGTGTCAAGTTATGCTCCATTTCACGATTACAGCTATTAATGGTTCAGAAGTGTTTTGTTACGTTAGCGGATCTTGTTTTGGATCCCGGAAGGAAACTAGCATTTCCAAGGTTTTATCTTTAGAGTCTGAGAAGTATTATTTCATAATTGAATGTTATTAATCTTAACAGACACCCGTGGTGATGACGGCGGCGAAGGGAAATATGTACGACGCGTGCGGGAAGTTGTACTGCTAACTGACGACCGCAACTTGCGCGTTAAGGCACTGGCTGCAGAGCTGCCCGTGCGCGACCTACCTTCTTTCGTGCACTGGGCCGGCGTTGACACTGCGGTAAGGGTTAATAAAGTATAATGACGTCAGTATATCAAGCGACGGAACAACAAGTTGTGAGGTTGGTCGTAAGTGACATGAAGATTGTTGTTTCTAATTATATCTTTTGCTTGGACATTAAAAGAATTCAAAGAATTTCTCGCACCTCGGGGTCAGAATGGGCTAATTAGGGAATGTGTTTAATGTAAGTAATGTAATGTTTTATTAGACAACCCTTTGTATAAAACTTTTTTATGATATCAAGTGACGGGATTAACAAGTCGTGTGCTTGGTTGTAAGTGACATGAAGATTGTTTTTCTAATTATATCTTTTACTTAGATGTTAAAAATAACTCGGAGAATTTCTGGGACCTACGACTCTGAACGGGCTAATTAGAGAATGTGTAGTAGCAGTAGAGTAGCCTTGTGAAAGACGGCATTGGCAATAAATGAAGTGCCAATTATCCATACAAACCATTACATAAAAACATTAAATAAAATATACGTAATAATAATAATAATAATACCGGGAAATACGCCTCTCCCATTTAAAAATTCAAAATTAGTCTTTTAGGCCTTGGGAGAGGCGAGAGTTTAAAATAAATACGAAAATAATAATAATAATAATAATAACGCGCAGACTCAACATAGCCCCGCAATAGGTAAAGCCTGTGTTGCGGGTGCCATGATCACAAAAATAGACGACCACAAGTTACACCCAAACTCACGAGAAAAATAAATTTAGGCCATACAAATATTTACCAGACCCGGGAATCGAACCTGGGACCTCTGGGTGGCAGTCCAGCATGGTAACCGTTCGGCCATAGAGGCAGTTAAATAAATAGTAATAGTAGCAGTAGAGCTGCTTGTGAAAGTATTGATCCAGGAAAGTACTGCCACCTTACCTATTTCTACCGCTAAGCAGTAATGTGAGCATTACTGCGTTCCCGTTTGGAAGGGAGAGGCTGCTAGTGAAATTACTGACAAATGGGACTTGTCGGCTTATGTCTCAGGGTGACGGGCGCAGTGGCAGTGCCCCTAAGATCTTTGCGATTTAAAACCATGAGTGGCACTGCAATTGTTATGTATAGGCGTGTCGCTTACCTCCAGGCGCACGACTTATTCGTCCCGTCCCGACTAACAAGTCGTGCTCCTAGTGGTAAGCGACTCGCCTGCCACTGTACCCGTCACCCTGAGACATAAACTTGACAAGTCCCAAGTGCCTGTAATTTTACACCTTTAGCCCTTAATAACGCACACACTCAACATGGCCCCGCACTAGGGAAACCCTGTGTCGCGGGTGCCATGGACACACACATAGACAACCACAAATTACACCCAAACTCACGAGAGAAATAAATGTAGGCCATACAAATATTTCTCCCGGCCCGGGAATCGAACCCGGGGACCTCTGCGTGGCAGTCCGGTATGGTAACCGTTCGGCCACGGAGGCAGTTAATGCCCTTACAAATTATTTACAAACACTTACAAATGGGAACGCAGTAATGTTTACATTAACGCTTAGCGGCAGAAATAGGTAAGGTGGCAGGACTTCCATTGACGACCTCTTTCACAAGGAGCTCCACTGCCCCTGACAGAGGACTTTCTATTCAATATAATACTAGAACAAAGTAACGAACTTTCTTAATTTTTAATATAAATACATCTAGGTTGACCTTGGCACATCCTGAAAGGTCGTAAGAAGATTCTACATCCTCAAGAAGTTAACGCCTACTTCAAACAATAATGTGGAAATTAACTTAAAAAACGTAGGTTTTGTACAAAAAATAAACCACAAATTCTAAATAGTTTTCTTCTTCCACAGAACGTAAAACCAACTGGAACGGACGACACGGTTAGCGGACAAGTGACCAGTAATCGGACGACTAATTAGCTCATAATATTTTGACTTACTGTAATTATATCGACACGCGATGTAACTTAATGTTGCGGAATGATAGTGCTTAAACCAAGTCTAACCTTGAATCGACGGACTGTACGTACACGTCTCACTCTAGTATAGGAATTGACTAGTATAAGTAAAATTAATACACCAATAGACGGATATATTAATAAATTTTGTTACGAGCTTTAGGGTTCCACCTCTGTGTTCCTGAGCTACATTTTACTTTGTTATTTTTACGTATTTTCAGTTATTATTTCTAAGGTATTAGATAAATCGTAAATTTAGTGTTGCTGAGCTATTATTTTTATTTACTTTTTGTAATATACATATTAAGTATATTTTTTATTATTTTGTAGCTAGGTAATAGACATGAATGAACTATATTGCCTGCTTGTTACATCAAGTACACGATCCATGGATTCTTTTTTCTTCTTTACATTTTATTAATTGACTTTAATAAATAATATCATTGGAAATTTTTAATCTTATTTATCTATTTTCTCTACTGTTCGATTGGAATGCCTCGTGCCAATTTTAGCCTAAATTGTGTTGTGTCTTATTTTGACGATTCTCTTATAAAGAAAATAAGCAATCTATGAATGAATGGTGGTAATACAGTGTTATTAGCCCGTGACTTTGAAAGTTCGCGTACACACTCTAGTAGATCATAACTTGCAACTTGAATTTATGTAGTATGTGCTTAATCTCTCAAGTCGCTAGCTAAAATCATAGTGATTTAGATATGTAATTTTAAATGTCGGACTGTTGTTCTTAAGTTGTAGTATCCACTCTTTAACCACAAAGTTGTTAGGTTACAGTGTTATAAACGACGTACTGTATCGAGTACCCCGCAAAGTACAAGTTAAACATAGTTGCATTGATGCATTGATTCGTAAGTTTACGCTGGCTATTAAAATGTAAGTTCAATGTTGACAATCGCTTTTCATCTCCGTTGCGCAAAATTTTATAGTTAATTAAGGTTCCTATGTACACTTACACTTCCAAGTGTAGGCTCGATTGACCACGTCCTTCATGTAGTAAATGCGTGTTATGAAAATGTGTTTTTATAAAAGTTTACAAAGGTACTCTATGAACATCGACAGTGAGGTGTTTCGTAAAATATTTGCCTTTAGATAGTTATAATTGTGAGCAATAAAAGAGTAATAAATTCATCATAACATAGTACTCGCTTTCTGTGTTTATAAGTACGCAGGTCTTATAAAGTTACTTTTTACCATACCGTGAATAAATAGACAATTTTACATATAAATTATCATAGAACTATGATCATCACTATATATTTGCTGAAAAATGTCCTATATCCATGGTTCACATGACCATGACAACCTTGTGATAAGGCTGTAATGACGTTGATATTCATTTCTGTAACAAATGTTTCGTATGACGAATATAATTATACGTCTAGACGCATTACCAGAGGTTAAAAAAAATTATCCGCTTTATTTTATGCGACATTCAAGATGATCACCGTTGTATGATGATGTAATTGAGTTCATATACAATAATAGAGAATTTTGTTCTTGTTGCCAACATGGGTTATGAGTGCATGTGCCTTTGAATGTTACGATTATTAGCAAATACAGATTAACGTTTATTAATTGTGTGAATATTGTATCAAATGCTGACACAGTACATTCAAATTTAAACTGTTTTCCTGCCTGCGGCAAATCCTTATTTAGACCCATGTTCTTTTTTAAGTACACTTAACGTATTTTATTTGTAGACAAAATAGAAATTATCCATTAATATAAAAAAAACAGATTTATGAAATAGTTACTGTAGTTAAAATTATTAATTTCATTTTGAAAATTTGATGCTGTTAATTCATTTGTCCTAATCATGAAGTTTTAATAAACATTGAATTACTTCTCATGAGACTTTTAATTATAATTCTACCTATTTATGTCGACTCTAGCGCCCACTCATACAAGCTGTATTTTGACATTACAATTACAGTTTATCAAAACTAACAATTAGCAGTTGGCGCGACAGCATGACAACTGCCAACTGTTAGTGCAGCAAGCAGTCGTGCCGTTAGATTTGCAATTGCAAGTGAATTGCTCTAGCATTCGCAGTTGCACCGACTGCATGCAAACTGCTTCCCGACCGCATTTCAACAGCTATTTTGCAGTTGCGATGTAGTCGAAATTTTGCTCGTATGACTACATCTTAACGCTTCATTTATCAATATAAATGAAGCCTTAAGGTGTATTTATACATAGTAGTAGTCAATCAGGCGAACCGGAATGGAAGCGAATTTTTGTAACGATATGCTGGCGCATACCGCGGAAGATTTAGGCTTGTATCTATACTCGAGTCAAATTCAATGAAGAATGTTTAATCACAACGTTGCTAGGCGACCAATGATGACATAGGAAAAGAAATTTTTATTCGATGCTCATTATTAAGGCTTGCTCTGCCCACGACCTGCTCCCTTAATTTGAATTTAAATAGGTAAGTAGGTAAATTGGGTTATGTAGAAGTAATACTTACCTAGCCGATTATTTTAAAGTTTACAAAATACCTATTGATACGTATGATTTAGGAATAAAAATAACTTTCTGCATCCTATTAATATTTACTGCTAGATGTCAAGTAATGGTAGATGAAAAGAAACAAAATCGTAAGATTTTATTTGATATTAATTTACTACATATTATATCATCCAGCATCTATTTCCGATTCTGAACTTGAATTACCATCAGAACTCGAATGTTTGCAATCTCTACCTTCAAATCAAAAAGTTACTAGGGATGACACAGTTTTACAAATAATTAATTACTGATCATTTTTATATCATTTTTAGGCGACTTGAAACTTCTGTTGAATAATATTCATTATAAACATGGCTTCAAGATTTAGTATTATCCATAATCTAGACGAATATCGTAGGAAAATATTAAATTGTGAATAACTGTGAAAGAGTCTTAAGTTTCAACCCTAAAAATCATATGTTTTTTTTTGTTGACATTTATTCTACATTGAATTTGGCTAGAGTACGTTACACAATTGACCAAGTTCATTACGCTATGTACAATATCGTTACAAAAATTTGCTTCCATTCCGTTTCGCCGCAATACAAATTGAGCCTTAGGCATGCTATCTATAACATAAGATAAGTACGATGTGCACTATAGATTTTGCAAATGCACATAATAATTTATTTATGATTGTGACATGATGAATCTTAAGTTTACGCAATATTGGTGTAATATTCTTAATTAACATTTAATGCCTTATTGGCGTCTATACAAGGTCGGAGTTCATCAAATTACATTATTACAAGTTGTTTACAAAGTAGATTGAATTGTAGTTACGCTAATTGTAGAAAAGCTTTGGTTAAGTAGCGCGTGGCAATGAAGTTAGAGGTTATTGTATTGAATAATTTTCAAAGCAGTATTGTTGAATAGGTTTATGTATGAATATAAATCTATTGAGGTCTGTTGAGTGAGAAATTCCGACGTTAAGTCTTGGGAATTGGCAACGTTCGCGAGAGGCTGGGTCGAGCCATCGCGCCGCGCGGTGCCGATGCCGGTGCTCAGGCTGTAAAAGCACCGTTATTCTTATTTACCGTGCGCATCTCGCTTTAGGCGCTTATGTTGGCTCTTATTTAGTACTTATAGGAAGGTGCAATACGATAAAATAATACTTTGTTACAGACGGATATGTACTAGGATTCGTCTGTTAAGTTCTTAGTTCTATTTACCTATAAGTAGGTTACTTTCATTTAATAGTGCTCATAAAGAAAAAAATGGTGATACCTACCATATGACTTAAGCAGGATGTTAGATATTTCTTATAAGTAACTCTTTAGTGACTTACTACCAGATTAAATGGTTAGAACAGTATATACTTATATAGATTTTGTCATAATAGTAATAATAATAACGCGCACACCTGATAGCTCCGCACTAGGGAAACCCTGTACCGCGGGTACCATGGACACATAGACAACCACAAGTTACGAGACAAACAAATATAGGGCATACAAATATTTCTCCCGGCCCGAGAATCAAACCCGGGACCTCTGCGTTAATAAGTCATAGGTAAGTTATTAGGTTAAGCCGCTCATATCCAGTAACGGCGTTTACTTCAGGAACGTAAATATCAGAATATTGTAGTAGGCACAGGGTAGCCCGTGTCGCTGAATGTATTTAAAAAAATCAACAACGGGATTTACAGTGCGATTTTCAAGTGCTTTCTGTGTAGTTGCCACATACTGTTTCTCCATAAATAACTATCAACAACGTACTGACAAAATTCAATAACTTACATTGAACATTTTATATTGAATCAATATAAGCACTAAGGCAAGAAAAGTAGTGACATATTTGGGTGCGGTACTATTTAAGTGCTGTTCATGAACGGGTTAAGTTATGAACTTATACAAACGAAACGTAATCGAAACTATATAAGTATACAATACAATACAAATAATTTATTGTTCTTTTCCACCTTAACTATAAACTTCTTATTGATAACGTTACGAATTGTAAAATTTTATACATTCTGATGTAGAAATTTTCACTGCAAAAATTCGAACTCCAAAATGGTCGATAAAGCTTATCGTTTGATCATCTTAGCCATTCAATATACCTAGAAGTTTGTAAGTAAACCGAATCACCTTCATATTTAAATTGGGTAGTAAAAAAGCTCCTAATTAAAAATGGGCTTATTCAAATTATAAATGCGTTATTTGCTACCGAAAACTTTTGTGTGAATAAAAATATGGAAACGACCGAATGAAATGCCGATAGCGAAATAGCGAAAAATGTTGCTAAGGCAATGCTACTCTACCGACTAAATTTATATTTTACCGAAAATTAAAAGCGACCTTTCATTTTATAAACTTTTGGTGCTTGTGGAACTTTCCAACATACGGAAATACTATTATAAGTGGACAACACAGGACATACCCACGTCGGTAAATAGTAATATTTCTTTCGGAAGTTTATTATATTTGTGATTTGACCAAGTTCTTTTTTGTTTTTTTTTATTATACTAAGTGACGAAACGAACAAGACTTATACCTGGTGGTAAGTGACACGCCTGTCCATAATATGTGCAGAACTTTAAATCGCAAGGGCACTGCCTCTGCGCCCGTCGCCGCCGTGAGACATAAGTTGGAAGTCCCATGTGCCTGTAATGTCACTATAAACCTTACCCTTCAAAATCGAAAGTCAGTAATGCTCGCATTATTGCTTGGCGGCAGAAATAAGTAAGGTGTACTTCCATGGATGAACTCTTTTACAAGAAACTTTACTAGTACTCAAGTACTAGTATCGATATATATGTGTTTATTCGATATATTCTGAGTTTATTTTTCGGAAACTCATTTTGACACAGCTTAATTAGTATTACAGTTAGCTTTATTTAATTTATTTTTCGGAACGTTTATTACTTTCCACATTGACTTAAAAATAAATGGACGACGGGTCTAATACAAAAACCACGAAAAAAATGTCCCAAGTCAACCTATTCGAAATTTAAATTGTAATGTCATCGCAGTATCGCGCTGTCAGTAGAACAAATGAAGACTAAAGCGGTGTGTCGCGCTCTGTATACGATTTTAGCGCCTTACAAGTGCGGACACTTTTTAGCGCGGACCCGACGTCCATATAATTGTAAGTCAATGACTTTCCATTAAAATTTATTCAACACGCACTAAATGGCCGGCTTTTTTTCGCGACTAGACGACCTCCTTAATGAAAAAATAAATAAAATTCTAACTTGTCAAAAAATAAATTAAGGTCTTTTATAATAATAATAAATTAGTGTGTACACGTTAATAATATTAATAATAATAAAGAGCATATTCATAACCCCGCACTAGGCAAACCCTGTGTCGCGGCGTGTCATGAACACACACATAGACAATCACAAATTACACCTAAACTCACGAGAGAAATAAATGTAGGCCATACAAATATTTCTCCCGGCCCGAGTATCGAACCCGCGACCTCTGCGTCACTCCAGTATGGTAACCGTTCGGCCACAGAGGTAGTATTTTGTTCAAAGTACGATGTAGCAGGTGAAAAAAAAAACATTGCAATAAAAGTGCGCATGTATATCACTAATCGACGTCATTAGCTGAGATTGATTGATGCTTTACAACAGTACCTACTCCCACGTAACAATTGAAGTTTTCTTTGTCTTAATTGGCTTTTCTTGTCATTCTCGAAGTATCATCGATTACGGCGATAGCGTTAGATGCATATTTGAGTCGTCTGAGTTGATCAGGCGCATTTATTGAGATTTTTTGTAAAATAACTCCAATAGTTTTATTATGATTATATAGCGGCGACGAATGCCGAAAGTGAGTACAAAGATCCGTAACAAAACACATAGGAGAATTTCGACGACTCGGTAAGTGGAACTGTAGCTCAGATGTTTAGAGCCATGCTACGGTGCAGCATGGACGTGGGTTCAAGTCCCACCGGGTCGACGAAAGTTTTTCTGTGTGTTCGATCTTTGTATTCATTGATCAGACGCGTTGAGTCTGTTGAGACTTTTAAAGCTTTACTCAAAGCTCGTTACCCTATACTCTAATTATTCTTCTTTCCTATTCTTACGTTATAGTTTTTGTTATTTGTTTTTTATACCTCCTACCTTTATTTTCTTTCCTCCGTGGTTAGAAGTGAGGCTATTGTTAGGAAATAAAAAGCAACAGACACGGAAGATGTGACATTGAGATATATTATTTTTTAACAAACATGACATCGAATACTCGTACATATCATA